TTTGAACTCTGTTACTGATAGAGCAAAAATACATTATCTTTCAAACTGGGAAAGAGGATTGGGAATGAAAAATAAATGTGCTCTCAAATTAATGGAAAAAAAGTTTTGCTAAAATCACTCAGTTTGGGATAGCAATACTGTATCATACTGTTTTGCATTGGGAGAAAAGCTGTTTTTTAATACCTCAGTCTTTTATAAACTGTCTTGTGTTCTTCATGCCAAGAATAAGCCAGCTACAGTGTCAGACAGGATGGGTTTATAAAATGATGCATTACATTAGCAAAAAGAATATGCCTTAGAGTTAAAAGCGCTGTGTACATTGTGATAGAGAAATGGAACGTTACTGGCTGCTCATCTTATAGTGTCAATAATGAAAAGACTATTCCAGGTATTAAGGATCAGAAAACAAGATGATCCAAGCCACACATTGCTATGGATGGACTCTGAAAATCTTACAGTAAACTTTAAAACTAGAGTATGAATGCAATAGAAATAAATAATACTGTTATACAATTTATTTTCTGTACTTCTGAGGATAACCTGAAGTTAAAGGTTATTCTGTCTCATTAAGAGTAATGGAATTATCTTCTATGAAGAAGACGCTAGGAGATGATGACTTGCCAGCGGACATCTGTGAAGAGCAAAGTTTTGTACATTTCAGTTGTTTTGAATATATTTGTATATAGGCTAATACTGAAAACTGTTGCCCAGTAAAGCTAAACTGGCCATTAATTATGATGATAAAAAGATACTGTGTCAAAGTCTGTGTAAACCCTCCATTAAGATTTGAGTAACTACTGCTGGGTCATGCTGGCAGGTGGCTGCAAGTTAGCTTCAACAAGGGCTTGGAATGTTGCTTTGAGACAGACTGATTTAGGTTCATTTAGAGAAGGTTCATAGAATGAAACCATAGAAGCAGCCAAGGAGGAAGCTTAGGCTGATGTCTTATGGGGTAATGTTTGTTTACCAGTATAGCCAAACTCTGAGAAAGAGGTGAATCTGGATGTTTAACTCAGGGTCTGTGGGCTCTGGGGAGACTGGAAAATAGGGACTTGGCACACACATGAATAGGCAATCTATAGGCTTAATTTGCAATGTTAACTGAAATATTTTACTGAGCTATTGAGAATCTGATTCCTAGTCAAAAGGGTATCTGTATCCCAAAACACAAGGCTTATTACACCTAACGTATAGCGTATGTGATGGTCCAACTTGTTTTTTTGTCACTTATGGTAGTACCCAAAAACTTCAGTACAGAAAAAGGCCTGATTCTGTACCCTTCCTCAGAAAGCTTTCAGTCATAGCTTCTTGATGCAGACAAGGTGTTTGTGGCGAAGTGAGGGAAATATGTGCCACAATAATGGTGCGATCTGGGCACTGAAAAATAGGATTGTGCTTCTTCATAATGTATAAAGACGTATTGATAGGTTTTTTTCTGAAGATATTTTTTTAGAAACTTGGTTGTTCTGCTGTGAGAAAGTAGGCCACTGGAAAACCAGGTAGATTTGATATTGCAAATGCCAAATAAATGAAACCTGTTTCGAATTACACAACAATCTTTCAGACTGTTTTTTGTGATCAGTGTATATGTAGTTCTTTTAAAATTAGTCACAGTAGTAGGCAAAGCTGTTCTTTATCACCTCTGCTTATTTTGGCATTGAAATATTTTTTTTAAATTAACAGTTGTTGTTTGACAAATACGGATCAGTGGAGATGAGCTAGAGCCTCATTGGTATAAAGTGTGGTGGGAGGGAGTGGACTGCAGGTAGACTATTCTGTTAGGGCACTGAACCTTTGGAATTTGCTTCCCTAGTTTGGTCTATAATCACTCAACTTTCAGGGCATGCCACCAAGACCACCTTCTTCCTGGTCAGTAATGAGAATGGGGAATCTAGTGGGGATTCTGGTAGACTTAGTAAATTTGTTACAGGGATCTGTGTTTTGGAGTTAGTCAGTCTGTCAAGGATTCCTGAAGCTTGTGATGTATAAACTTATATATTTAAGATCAATTCAAATAAGGGATTCACTGTTTGAGAGAGAAGTCCTTAAATATAGATTACTTCCTCTAACTAATCCATAAAATTCAACAAGGCATAGTATGTATAGTGAGTAATCCTATAAATCAATAGGAGTGGGAAGAAAATTAGTTTTTTTTTTCCTTTTACCTCTTTCCCTTTCATAGTAGTATCTCAATGGCAGCTTAAAGGGGAATTATAAAGGCATGATATAGCTAAATTATTTTAAGTAGAACTAGTAAATACAACCTCCCTCCATACTGTTTGTTAATGGGAATAAATGTTGTACCTTAGAATGTGGGGAAGAATGTTAAAACTGATTTTTCAAAGAAGCTTGTCTCTCTCACCAACAGAAGTTGGTGCAGTAGAAGATATTACCTCACCCATCTTGTCTCTCTAAAGAGCTCAAAAAAGTTACAGACTAACATGAAGTTTAATTTGATTGAATAAATTGTTTTGATTGAAACTAAAATATGTTACAGGCACACTGAATGCAATGTTTAAGAAATTCCTGTATGACTTGGCATTAAATCAAAATAAAATGTAGCAGTCTGATTGTTTTGGACAACATCACTAACCTATCTATCCACTACTTATAACAAAGAATTTTGGAAGTTTCTTATAGAATCATAGAATATCAGGGTTGGAAGGGACCTCAGGAGATCATCTAGTCCAACCCCCTGCTCAAAGCAGGGCCAATCCCCAGACAGATTTTTGCCCCAGATCCCTAAATGGCCCCCTCAAGGATTGAACTCACAACCCTGGGTTTAGTTCAATGCTCAATGCTCAAATGCTCAAACCACTGAGCTATCAGCTACAGCTTTGTTTCATAGCTCTATTTTCATTTTCCCATGTGAGGAAATGAAAAGCTAAAAATTAACCATACATTGTACCGGAAACATCAGGGATCAGGTACATTGAAATTCTACATGAAGAAAAAAAACTTGATGAGTTAAACAGTCTTTTAACTATCAGGAGGTAGCCATGTTAGTCTGTATCCACAAAAAACAACAAGGAGTCAAGTGGCACCTTAAAGACTAACAGATTTATTTGGGCATAAGCTTTTGTGTGTAAAAAAACCTCACTTCTTCAGATGCATGGAGTGAAAATTACAGATGCAGGCATTATAACAGTCTTTTAACTGTTAAAGTTAGATCTGGATTACTGCAAGATCAATGACCTGCCTGACTTAATCCCTCCATAGAAAGTCTCCAAAATCAGTTGATAGTCACTTAAGACTTCCTCAAAAATGTACTGACTTGGAATAGTGTATTCATGAATATCAATTTTTTTTTTAAGTGGAAAAGTAATTTAGAGGAAGTTTCAAATTGCATCTGAACCTGAAGGAATGCCAGCCACATCAACAGTACACCATAAATTTTGTTTAGGATGTTATTGGTCTCAATCTGAATAGCATAGATATGGAACAAAAGGTGATAATGGGGGCAACGTGATCCAGCAATAGGGATGTTCACTTCATATGAAGTAGTGCATGCAGACTTGTATTTACACCTCTACCCCGATATAACGCGACCCGATATAACATGAATTCAGATATAACGCGGTAAAGCAGCGCTCCAGGGGGGCGGGGCTGCGCACTCCGGCGGATCAAAGCAAGTTCGATATAACGCAGTAAGATTTTTTTGGCTCCCGAGGACAGCATTATATCGGGGTAAAGGTGTATTAGACAAATGTTACCTATGAGTTATAATGGAGTTGGCCTGCAGCACACACAATAGCAGATGTGCCTGTTAATATTCCTTTTTTTTTTTTTTTCAAAGTCTCTACAGGAAGGTTGAGGAAATGGCTGTCTATAGCTGTATCCTTTATTCAATGGCTAATTTTATATATGTGCTTATTGAAACTTCAGCCTCACACCTCAAGACTGATAGTAATTGTTAAAGAAGGCATCTCTCTTGCTAATAATGTAGCAGTGTCCATCCCAGTTTTAATTTGGCTTGGATAAACTTCTTAGACTGTATTAAAAGAAACTAGCATAAATCATGGGTGGGATTTCCAAAAGCACCTGAATGATTTGATGAAGATCCGTGGATCTTGTGTCCTAAATCACTTAAGTGCTTTGGGAAATCCTGCCCCAAAATACAAAATTTCTTTCATCATAATGTATCTACCATCCCAGTGGGAGTGGTTATGAGTGTCTCAGCGTACTCAGATGATGGGAGTGGTAGCAGCATACTCCGGAAAAAGGGGATAGTGACATACTCTACCTCAGTGACATAATACTACATTGTCTCTTTAGTCAGATCAGCATGTAGTCACAAGAATATCCAAAATAGTAGTAATGGACACCTCCAAGAGCCTGCTAAGTCCAAAACTAAGTCTGCACTAACTGAAACACTTGGAAGTAGAATTCAGTACTGCAGCAGCTTGAATATGTCCTTCCATCCAGAGAATAAAATATAGGCTGCAGTCTGCTTTTCCAGTGTAGACTTCAGCTACCTCAGGTTTGGCTTCTGCCGATTAAGCACTGAAGTTTCTTGGCATACTTCCTCTAGAACGCTACTACTCTTCCCTTTCAAGAGGGGAGACTATTAGAATCCTGAAGTAATAACCTTGTAGTTCTTTTCCCAGAGGGAAAAATGTTCTTGGGTGTACAGTACTAACCTGAGCATTTTGGTTTAAGATTTGTGTGAAAACTTAAAATGAACTGACTTGTTGCTAAACAGTAATGAAGTGAGACTGGGCCATACTTCTGGTGAAAGTTCTTTTGAAAAACTGTTTGGGCTGATTTCAGGATGCAAATATGTTTAGTTCAAGGCTTCATTCATATGTGGTCAGGTATCGATTATCTTTCACTCAGGTAACTTGTGTATAAATCAGTTCCTCTTATTGAAGGCTTCAAGTATACAAACGAGCAAAAAGATACTGTAGAAGCAGGCTATTAATATGGACAGTTCAAATTTGAAAAATGTTCAGTTTTACTTTCTGTGACTGGGATTTTTTACTCTTCTTGTGTCTTTTCAGTCCAAGCCGTATGTGTTTGACCATGTATTCCAGTCAAGTACATCGCAGGAACAAGTGTACAATGATTGTGCTAAAAAAATTGTAAAAGGTAAGGAAAAACATTGAACTTGACAATAAGGAGGCCATCAGTAGATTAAGTGGCTTTTACTGTTGAAAATGGTGATGTAGTTCCAGCTCTTCTCTTCCTACCCATCTTTCCCCCAAAAACTGTATCTAAAAGAAACAGCGTGAATTATAGCAGGAATGGCAGCAATCACTACAGTTAAAGTTGATGAATGACATCAATTCTGAACCCATGTATTCAGTTCATAACTGTTTGAAATGTTGATCTTGTCAGGTTGCAATCTTTCAGGCCAGGTCTCTTCCATTAAAATTTTCTCTTGGACAATTATAGGGGAAAAATTGTTCTTAAGTAAAAAAAAAAAAATGGAAAAATATAACTTTTCTATTTTAAAATGATGCTTGAGACTCTTTTAAAAAAAAAAAAAAAAAAAATTGCAGCCAAAATCAATGGGGTTGAAATATGGCATAGGAATAGATGATGCTATGGAAATATCTGTTCCAGGAAAAAGCCTTGATTAGTATGAACCTTCAAAAATCAAGCATATGCAATGTTTTTCTAAGCTTGTATAATACATAGCTAAGTAAGAGTTTGAGATCATCTTAGCTGACTAAAGTTCTCATTACACAACTATAGTGAAGATCCTCTGCAGATAGAACTCCTTCCTCAATGCTTATACATCTTAAAGAGTACAGAATCTCTGTCCTTGAATATATTAAAAATTGGTTGCGGCAATACTTTTAAAATAGAATTATAAAAAACCTAGAAAATCATCATGTGAGAGTCTAACCAGTTCATCTTCTGCAAAATAAAATCTTGCCTTACAACTGTAGTAGAATCCCTTGAACAGGTCAGTAAAATATTGGGTAAAGGAAAGGCGTCCCAGTAGATGTAAATTTGGGCTTTCAAAAGGCTTTTAACCAAACCTTCACAAATTACTATTAAAAAAAAAAAAAAAAATTAGTCTTGGTGTAATAGGCAATTTACTGGTAAGGATCAGAAGCTGGCTAAGAGATAAAACAGAAATAAATGTTAAATTTTCATGATAGCTGAAGTTTAGCAGTGAATTGCTATAAGGGTCTATAGTAGCACTCGTTATGAATGCATTAATGATTTTAAAGGGGGATGAGCAGTTTGGTACTCAAACTTGCAGATACAAATTACTTGAGCAAGACTGCAGAAGACTGAGAAACTTCAGAGGATCCTTACCAAACTAGGTAAATGCATAACATGGTGGCAGATGAAATTAATTGATAACAAATGCAAAATAATGAGCACTGGAAGAGATAATTTGAACTAATCATACACCTTTCAAGGTTCTAAATTAACTGTAAAAACTTAAGAAAATCATAACTGTGGACAGCAAAATTAAGACTTCAATATGCAGCAGTTGTATAAAAAGCAAATAAAGTTAGGAGGCATAAGGAGCGACAGGATGAATAGTACAGAAGTATTATGTCAATTGTATAAATAGTGTGTGCTAACCTGGACTGCAGTGTTCTTTTTGGTTATTGCCTCCCCAAAAAAGATACTGCATTATTTGAGGGAGTTCAGAAGATGAGCGATTAAGGGGATGCGTAAACTGTCATGAAGAGTTTTAAAGATTGGTACTACTCCTTTTCATCGTGTCCCTCCTTACTAGTCTCCTCTCAAGTAATTAATAGTATTGAGAAGGTAGATAAGGAACTTCTGTTTGTCCTTTCTCATAACAAAAAGACAAGGGGCCATTTAATGAAACTGTCAAATGGCAAATTCAAAACTGATAAAAAGGATTTCCTTTTTCACACAAGTCACAATTAAATTGTGAACTTGTGGCAGTGAATTAATCATTTAGACAAGTTACCCAGGAGACTTCAAAAAAGTTTAGACATTTATATGGATAACAAGAATATCAGTTCTATAAATATTACAATTACAATAAATTTGAAATGTTACATATATTACAGTCACAATACTTTAAAAAAAACAACTAGCTTTAGAAAGGATACAAACATTTAAGTTTATGGCATAAGCTAGCCTCTTAACTACTGGAAGTTAGAAAGTTTCTCTGGGTGGGCTGGTTATCCAATAACAGCATGTTGCAGGATTTCTTCCTCTGTCCTCGGAAGCACAGTATTTGTGTTCCTAGTTCTTCAGTTCTCATAGATTTCCAGCCTAAACAAGACACTAATTTCTAATTTAAACTTTTTTAAAAAGCCTTTCACTCTGCCTTTATATACTAAAAAGAAGCAAAAAGGTACAATCCCATTTTTTCCTTTGCCGCTCACCTTTTAAGAGTTTCAGACTCAAGATACAGACACTTTTATGTAATGCATTAGTTTACATTTTAATCTATTAATGTAATTTCTCCTACTCTAGCAACATGCAATTCTATTTTATTAGACTTGTGTTCATAGTGGAGACACCTTGTAATGGTCAAAATTCATTTGGAGTCAAAATCCTTTATTAGATTATTTGTCCATCAAACACTGAATTATCTTCTTGCTTGGAAAAGAACCCTAATGCATCAATTCTTTCTTGTTAGATGTACTTGAGGGATACAATGGTACAATATTTGCTTATGGACAAACATCATCTGGGAAAACACACACTATGGAGGTAAGGTATCTAAAAAGGACTTTCTCATAATATTTCTTTTTTTGCTGCTGGAGGACCAAATAAGGCTCCACAAATTAATTACTGCTATTCCCAGACTCATGGTAATAATGATGCCCAAAATACTATATTACGATCAAGCCCACCAAGAAATTGTGGGAGAAGGGATGCCAGATGAACAGAGGAGACTGAGGATTTTTATTTCAAAAGGAGAAGGGTATATAACTATGGAAAAAAATGATAAAATATTAAGTATTCCATTAATAGCAGCTTTTTATCTTCAATTTATTATTTAAGAGATTACTGGATTCATTTTTTACCCTAACAAACCTTGGTCCTAAATGGATTGGCAAGACTTGTTAAAAATTTTCTTTCTAGTTACTATTCTAAAATCAACTCCTTCAGGTTCAGTTTGTCATTTTTGAATAGTAGAAATCTGTTGTGTTCATGGAATTATAACTGATAAAGAATATTGCATTTAGTTGTCTTTTTTTTTCTCAAAAGGGAACACTTCATGATCCAGATGGGATGGGGATTATTCCAAGAATAGTGCAAGATATTTTTAATTATATTTACTCCATGGATGAAAATTTGGAGTTCCACATTAAGGTAAATTGTTTGGTTTAAGAAGTACTTTTGAAACAAAAAAAAAGTTGCATCTGATTTTAAAGTAAAGTAATTGATGGTTAAATCTTCGGGGGTAGGGTGGGGTGTATATACAAGTCTCCCATTTAATTTGGAAGATATGAATCCAAAGACAGTTGGACCCAGAGGTTGGGAATTCATTGACAGTAAGATGCTAATCTTTAACAGTGAGGGAAGTTATCCTTTGGTAACTTAGATAATGGTTGTGGTAAATTCTCCATCACTTGAAGTCTTAATTAAGATTGGATATTTTTCTAATAGAGATGCTTTGGTTCAACCACAAATTCTTGGGCTAGGTGCAGGTATCACTGGAAGGAAGAAAGTCTCCTGTGTTAGGCAGGAGGTCAGACTACATTATTATAATGGTCCCTTTTGGCCTAAAATCTATGAATTACTGTGTTTTTAATGCTGTATCTTTTTTATTAGGTGTCATATTTTGAAATATACTTGGATAAAATAAGGGACCTTTTAGATGGTAAGTCTGTGCCCTTTATATAGGATGGGGATAGCAGCTTGTTAGACTGCAAAGAAGGGGAAAGAAACTTTACCGCCAGATTAGGATACTTATGTGGCATATTAATGATACATTGTAAATGGCAACTATAAATGTAGTCTTTCATTGGTTTTCATAATCTTATAATTGTAAAATTAAGTATAGCTCTGCCTTTTCTTTGTATAATGTGTTATCTGCATAAAAGCATTTGGGTTTCTCTAATGGCCATTTTGTGTAAATCCTTGTTCATATGTTAGAATATAAGAATTGCATGGGATATCATAGGAAATGATGTTTCTGTTTCCCTCGGGATATATATGCTCATTCCCCATATTATTCTTTTGAACAAATGAAATATCTTATCTGTAGAGTTTTTTTTCTTCCAGTTTCAAAGACCAATCTTTCTGTTCATGAGGACAAAAACAGAGTTCCTTATGTAAAGGTGAGTATAAGTGTTACGCTATTGAACTAACCTATCTTTTCTCCGTGTACATCACTTATTTATGTTTTGTCAATTTTTAAAGGGCTGCACTGAACGTTTTGTATGTAGTCCGGATGAAGTTATGGATACTATAGATGAAGGAAAATCTAACAGACATGTAGCAGTTACAAGTAAGTGTTTTTTTCCCCCTTATGGCATTCTTTTCCTTTCATTGAGTTTATAAACGAGAGAAGCCCAAACTGTGAATTTAAGTGAATGGTTCTAGTTTTTTTGAAATATTGACTTGTGTCACTTGCGGGAGGCAAGAGTAGGTTAAGACAAATTAAAACAATCTTGGTCTAGTTAGTTTGTCTCCCCTTCATTTAACTTCCTGTTTCTAGGGCAGTGTTACTCAACTTGAGGTTGCATGCCCCCTCTTGGAGTAGGGGCAGAGAACAAGCATGGGGTAGTGAACGTTCATGATCCCAGATCCATGTCCCTCACCCCTTGAATGTACTCCTGTATCTGGAAGTAAAGCAATTTGTCTCTCATGAAGCCACCTGCTTTTTGTCTCTACTACTGCAGAGGCCTATAACAAAGCTGATCACGAGATGCCCATGTTTACTTGTCTGCAGATTTAGGCAGCATCCCATAGGTCCAAGTTTCTCTCTTTGGTCCTATGGCACTCCACTAAGTTGTAAAAGTATGTGCCTTGTGTCTTTGGAGCTGTCAGTGGACTCTCTCACTGTAAACAATATGTAGCCTTCTACTGAGTGGGACATAGGGAGGGGAAGCTACAAAATGAGATGGCAAAAAGAGGAAAAACAGAAAATGCTGCATTGGGGACAGAACAGAGACAGAAAAGGTAAAACTGAGGCAGAAGAAAAGAGAATATAAACAAAAAATATGGCAGCATTTGGCCAAGGGAATGGACAAGCTTTTCATCTACAGAGGACTTCATCAGAAAAATGTTGGGAGCTGCTGTTTTTGGGGGAAATTTCCTGTTCCTGCTGCCTTTTCTTATTTTATCAGTAAAAGGTTGGCGAAGGCAATCAAATACCAAGGCCAAGCCTTCTCTGGCCCTCCCTTTGATCAGGAGAGTGTTTTGGAGGAGTGATAAGCCAAACACGGTTACTTTTTTTTCTTGGTGGCAGCCAGGAACAGAAACCAGAACTGGTCAGTATTTAAAAGCTGAGGAACAGGGAAGTAACAGTGGCTGGGAACAAGGGACTATTCCTTCTTTACACTTCCTCAGCTTCTCTTGTAGCTACCCGCACGTCTTTAGAGGGCTGTGGGGGATTTAGGGTTGTTTCTGTCTGACACAGAGCTAGAGAGAAGATTAAATAGGGGGCTCATCTTCTCCCTCTTCCCCTCCAAAGTAAATCAGCTTAGACTTCTGTTACTGAACTCGAAGAACTGTTTTAATTCAGTATGAACTGTGTGTCTTTAAAAGTTTACTTGTGCTTCACATATCTTACCTATGCTATGAAGCATAAAGGAAAAAAGAAAAAAATCATTATCTTTAATTTATAACAAAAATGAAATAGTTTCTAAAGGAAACTCTGACACGTTGGGTAAGTATGTAACAGCTTTGAAATTTTTTTTGACAAATGTTCTAGTGTTTCTTATAAACTCCAAAAATACTTAAGCCCAGAGTAAAAGGCCAGATTAATAAACTGTCAATACACTTTACATTTTATTAATAGAAATGTATAGGAAAAAAGATGACTTAATCTGTTGACCCTTCATTTGCCTACTTTAGTTTAAATACGCTGTATTCATCACAAACTACTGTAAGGCTGTCTATCTCTAGATATATTTGTTCACTGTGAGAGGTTCATATTAGTATACTAAATGTTCAGCTAAGGTCAAATTAAAGTAATTGTTATCCAGGGCAGATTTGTTGCATAAGCAAGTGTTTTGAAAATTCTTAAATATTTTCATTATAGATATGAATGAACACAGCTCTCGAAGTCATAGTATCTTCCTTATTAATGTAAAACAAGAAAACACTCAAACAGAACAGAAACTGAGTGGAAAACTTTACCTTGTGGACTTGGCAGGTAGTGAAAAGGTAACTTTTTCTGTATATATTTGAAAACTAAAGGAACATACGGAACCTTGTTTAACGTAGAGCTTAGGTTGCTGAAGTATCACTTCCTAAGAACACACAAATCATAATACTGACTCCCCAGTCAGCTTCATGACTCTTTTTAAATCCAGCGCTCATATGTGAAACCCAGACTCCAGTATAGGCTTGTTTGATATGCTCCCTATTGATAGATAAGCTTGAATTTGGTAAAAGGTGTCGTGATTTTTTTTGTACATGAAAAAAGTAGATTGACGTTCCATTGACCCTGTTTAAGTGTGATATGACAAACTGGAGGTGTGGATTGTGATTGGTTATATGTTGGACTTGAAAAGGAGTTTGTTGTGAAGGTGGTGTCAGTGTGGATATTGTGTAGGTTGTGGTTGCTTGTATTAACACTGTCCTAAATGGTGATTACATTGACTGGAAATGCACTTGAGAAACCTTAATTCTGAGACAAGGCTGTTATGTGGAAATTTCTTCCTTATTTTAACTGAATGAAGTGGAGTCACCTTGTGCACCACTCTGCCAGTACTGTGAGCTCCCTATTTATGGGATCCTGTTTGTCCCCTATAGTCCACCAGGAGGCCGACATTAGGCCTGAGTGAACTATGGTTTTTAAATTGAGTTTGGATAGTAGCATGAGCGATAGGCGCAAAGCATTTGACCAAAGACAATCCCCCTTTCACATGATCTTATTCTTTATGTTAAGTTTGTAGTGGCCCTTGAAATACCAGTGTTATCTTACTTAAGATTTGGGTTGAGGTAATCAAAATAAAGAAAAACATGGCTAATTGGATACCCACCAGTTGCAGGAAATAATTAGTTATATTAGTTTGTTTTGAAAATAAATTCTTGCTCCTGTAACTAGGGGAAAATATGGCAAAGTGAGATGAGGAAACCTTGAAGAGAGCAGGTTTCAGCCCTGAACTGCTTCATCTGGCTTTAGTTAAGGTCCAGTAACCAGCAGTGACATCACTTGTTTATTTACAGTGTATAAAAAAACCAAGGTTTTAAAGGTTTCTTTGTCAGAGCTTTTCCTTGCCGCTCTGGAGTCATGCCATGATGGGAAGGCATTTCCAGGCCTGATCCTGTTGTGAGTATTTGGCCAGAGGAGTGCAACAGAAATGACAAAAGGTTTAGAAAACTTGATCTACAAGGAAAGGTTAAAAAAGTGGCCATGTTGTCGAATCCCCTTCATTGTTTAACTGGTTCCTAAAAATGGTCAATGAGCAGTTTTCCAACAAATTGTGCACCCACCTTCTAGCATATGTATTTGTGTTTTAGTAGTTTACACTTAATGCTTGTTTACATTAATAAAATAAAATGTAACTTCAAAATTCTTTCAGTGTAGATTGGGAGAATGTGAGGGAGGGGAGATGCAGATCATAGAACTGTAGAGCAAGATTGGGCATTTAGACTAGGAAACTAGGCTGGGCAGCAGAACTGGGGAAAGGTGTTAGCAGAAACTGGTGATGCTTCCTGTTCTTCAGTCTCTCCCATCTTTATCCATGACCCTCAGGTACCTTCTGAGGGAAGTCAGGTTACAGTAATTTTCCACTGCAATCTTCTCTGCTCTTGTAACTTTCAGTGTCGGGAACCTGTATCTGAGCTTTTTTTGTGACAGAGGCTGTTTTTGAATCTGGTCTATATTGTCTTTCCCTATTGTTTAAGATGGTAACTTTCCTGCCTGACTTGATTGACTTTTGGATTAATTAGTGTCCATAACTTTGAATTTCTTAGCCTTATTCATATGCAAAAGCTAAGATTTTTGTCACAGAGGTCGTGGAAGTCACGGAATCGGTGACTTCCAGAGACCTCTGTGACATTTTCGCTTCGGCCCTGGGGTAGCGGGGCTGGAGCTGTCAGCCAGTGGGGCAACCTGCTGACGCGGGCAGACCACCGCATCTCTGAGCTGCTGCCAGGAGCAGGGGGATCCCACACTCTCAGTCAGCGAGGGTAGGGGGAATCCTGGAGGCCCAGCAGCAATGGGTGCTGGACCCTTCTCTTTCCTCATTTTGTCATAGTTATTTTTAATAAAAGTCAGGGACAGGTCACGGGTTTCTGTGAATTTTGGTTATTTCCTGTGACCTGTCCATAACTGACACAGTCTTAGCCTTATGCATGAATTGTTTGCATTCAATCCCTTTTTTTTTCTTTTATATATATATGACTGGTGAGTACAGTTGGTCAAACTTTTCACCAAAATTGGGTTTTCAACTAAATTAATTTTTTTCACAGAAAGTATCTGCTTTCCTTGGTAAATTTTTGATTTTCATTGGAAAAACTGAATAGTCTTGAGCTGAAAACTTTTGTTTTTTGATAGAAAATCAGAATTTTTCTTCAGGTGGTGTGGAGTGAGGGAAGAGAATCCATTTTCCCAACTGGCTCTGCAAGTTAGAGGTGCTACAGTGACACTTCGTTTTAAAAAAGAGCAAGCTGTTCAGGCTTTTTTATAAGCACTGAACCTGAATAATGTTTTCTAGAATGTTTACTTTTATTTACTCAATCTTTTTTAGGTTAGTAAAACTGGAGCAGAAGGTGCTCTGCTGGATGAAGCTAAGAACATCAACAAGTCTCTCTCAGCTCTTGGAAATGTCATTTCTGCTTTGGCTGAAAGCAGCGTAAGTGTATTTTTTTTAAGTCCAGAAAGAGAGACAATACAGATGTAATAGTACCCAGGAACTATGGGCTGAAATTTTCAAGGCAGTGCATGGGATTTAACCACACATCTCCCCATGCACTGCCTTAAAAATCTCAACCATTGTATCACTACATTGCAAGTGCAACAGTGTCTGTTAGAGTGTCACTCTTGCTGTGTAAAGCAGAAATCTTAATGGAAGTTTCCTCTACCCTAAAAGTACAAAAGCTTAGACATAACTCTTTTATTTGAAAGGTTTGTGCTTGTTACCACTGTGTTGGGCATTGTTTAAGAACCTGAAGAGAAATTATCTTTACTATCCTTCTTGCTAATTTATTGGCCTTAGCTGAATTGAGTGCAGATCCTTATCCAACAAACTAGATAGTTAAGTCTGTCAACTCTAACTTATTCCTTCAAACATATGCTAATCTATACATTTATTTATTCCAGACTTATGTTCCATATCGTGACAGTAAAATGACCAGAATCCTCCAGGATTCATTGGGTGGTAACTGCAGAACCACTATTGTAATTTGCTGCTCTCCATCATCATACAATGAGTCTGAAACTAAATCTACGCTCTTGTTTGGTCAAAGGTGAGTAAACACTTCAAAAATGCTAGTAGGGAGAGACATTTGTTTCATTGAAGTCTTGTAAGTCATGAAGTACAAGCATCTTTTTATTAAGCTCCTATGCATCTTTTCTGGTAAGATTGGTGTAAGTAAACACATTCGATGAAATGATAACTGCCAAAGATGTCTGCTGTAATCAAGCAAGGTAGGTTGAGCTCTTAAATTCTACTGCTGACTGCATGTTCAACTATACACATTTGCTTTTTAAAAACCAAAAAGATCAGTGAAGAAAGACACTAATGCAGAATAATTAATTTTTAATTTAAATTCACAGATGGTTACGGTTCCTATATCAAATATAACATCAACACTTAATATTTCTTTAACTCATGTATACACACTGCTAAGCATTTTAGTGCCCGATTATGTAGTGTGCCTAAAATATCCATAAGCAGGGCTTGAAAAATCCACTCATCATGGCAAGTGTAAGAAACTTTCTTGTGAGTGTGGAGGACCAATATCATCCTCTTCAGCAGAGTTTACTTTCATTTAAAATAAAGTTCTCATCCTTATGGAAGAAAAGATTGATCTAATGCTGTCTTCCTAAGACAGCAGAGTCCCAGTGCTTCTGCAGCTGCTCTTACTATGCTGCAGAGTAAATACTGACCAGAGTGTGTGAGGATTTGGGGGAGGGGGGGGTTGTTCCTATTCATTACCTTATGTGCTTCAGTGAAACAGGGAATTGTTGATCTTGCTCTTTTGCTGCTTAGCAAAGCACTGAGCAGTAGCAAAGGCTGTCACTGGAGCTATTTGTGGTGGAGGAAAACTCAGAAATGAGAACAGCGAGTGGTAGAGTAGCAGAGACCTCACCAAAGCCCGCTTCAAGCTTTTGAATGCGGGGAACACACACAGAACGCTGCATCTCCTTTCTGGCAGCTGAGGAAAGAGGGGTTCAAATTTCAGACCCCTGCTGTTTATGGGAAATACAGCTAGTCCCTGAACGAGATCCAGTGACAACACCCTGGTAGGAATCCCAGCAGGTGGGGGTGTATGGATATAGACATCTCATGGGGGACTCCATCATTGGATGGGATAAAAAACTTGAGGGCAGAAAGTAAGGTGGGATGTACACGCAGTGGGGGAGGGGTGGGGGTGGGAATAGACAATGATATATAGAGTCAGAAGGAAAGAAGGAAACAGACACTTGCTTCATAGTCCTGATTTCTGCCTCTTCAGATTCACTTTGCTGTTGTGGCTACTGGTAAACATTCCTGTACAAGTCCCTGGACAAGGGCATGTAACTGCCAACAAAACATTGAAATAGACTATGCACATAGTAAACAATTGAAAAATTGATAACTGCTAGCATTTTATAGACAATATGAATGGTTACAGGTAACCAGTGCATTAGGTACACCATTTTCAAATGGAAATGAAGGGTCAGATTCTTGAACCCAGTTACCGTGAACTGTTTGAGCCATCTCTGTGCCACTCATTCCCTGCCTGCGCACACAATTCTCTACCTCTGGGCAAGATCTTAAATTGTTGCGCTGATTGAGCTCTCAAGCCTATTTCCTGTAACTTGCATTACAGTAAGAATTCTTTAACACTTAGTCACTAATACAGGCTAATTTTATATTTAAATCCAAAATATAGAGAAACATTTTATTCCAAAAAAACCAAAGGCATCAGGCATTCCTTATCATTAGGAACTCTAAGAATTTGGATATTTTTAACATGAGTCTGTTCTCCCATCACTACTATCATTCTGTCTGATTTTAATTCTCTATTTTTAAACTGCCAATTTAATAATTCCATCCACTGAAAAGTGAATTGACTTTTCTTCTTAATCTGCTCCTCTTTATCCAGCCATTGTTCTTATTTAGAACAAACACATCCATCCGAGGAATTAATTTAGTGGATCAAGTTTCCAGCTGGCCTTACAGGGAAAACATTTTAGTATGGAAAGCATTTGTTGTGTGGAGTGATTCAAAAAGTTTTCTGATACTTTGCCAGATCAAGGAAACTGAGAGCAAGATGGCTGCTGCAGTGCATCTTCAGGACTGGAGTTTTGAGCTTAACATCCTTAGTTTCCTAGGTTCCTCTCCTCTGAACTGTTATCTAAGTAATTTCTATAAAAGTTGGTCTCCCAATAATTCATCTTCATAAAATGTGAATGTATCGCGTTCCTACCATCTCATTTCATAAGCCATTCACTTAGTGCCTTTCACTCACATCTTGAAATGCTTTAATAACATTAATTCTCAAGCCCTTCTGAGAGCTTTTACCCATTTTAGAGAGAAATATAAAATCTGTCTCCAAAGTAACCAGCATAAATTTAAAAATGTATCCTTACAGTAATATTCCTTTTTAGTTACAATTTAGATTAAATCCACCAAAGTGGTGTGTGTGTGTGTGTGTGTATATATATATATGTGTGTGTGTGTGTGTGTGTGATAGCAATCAGTTTTGAGGGATAAGAGGCATACCAGAGACTGTCAGGAAGTGAGAATACTTTGCTGGAGTTTAGGGTTTCATAATAATAAAAAAAACAACCGAGGAGTGTATGGGGGAACATTTCTTCTTCAAGTAGTGTCCCTATGGGCACTCCACTTCAGGTACATGTGCACCCCACGTGTTTTCCATTAGAGATTTTCATTAGTAGTGTCCATTCAGCCTGCGTAAGATATCCTCGTGTCCCACACTCAGTGGCGCTGGAACATTTTTAATAGTGGGGGTGCTGAAAGCCAGCCCACTTACCCCTGTCTTCCCCACCCCTCCCCCCAGCTGAGGCCGGCAGCCAGGACCCCAGACGCGGGGCCGGCAGCACCCCCTGCATCCCTAGTTCCCACGCCTATGCCCACACTGAACCTATATCAGGTTGCGCGGGTGAACAGCCCTTAATTCCTTCTCAGTCGCCTCGTCCTGAGATGGAAGTTAGCATGTCGTCTTTGCATGTACCTCAACTATTGCTGAGCTTGTTTCTTTCTTAGTTTAGTTACCTTAGTAGTTTGTTCTGGTTTTAAAAAAAAAGTTAATATTCTCTGGGAATTTCCTTCCTGAGAGGGGCATGCCTGATTCACTGGAGTTTAAATGTTGCCTCTTGTGTAGAGAGACCATCCTGGTCAGTGACAGACACACAAAGTGCATTTGCTGCTGGGAGAATCGCACATACTACAAAAGTGTAACTTCTATTTAGCCTTCAAATCTAGGGCTCAGAAGAAGTGTCATTATGACTTGACTTCCTGGATGACGGTGCACCCCCTGTACATCAGTTTCCCCCATGGGTCTCTAGCACCTCTTTGACCTCAGTGCAACACTCTCCCAGAAGGGGGAAGTCCTCAGAGACCTCCTCTAAACACAGTAAGAGGAGCTTTAATTTCCCTCCCAGGAATGCAACCCCAAAAAACTTAGTTTCCTGACCAGGTTGACAACCTCAGAAACATCATCCTTGAGGCTCAGTACTGTGGAGGCAAGGAGTTCCACCAGTACTGGTGAAATAGGAAAGTGCCGCAGCCCTAAGGCTAAACATGGCTCTGGGAAGGCTTTGATACCATCTAGTGGAGATGGTCAGAACAAGCTCAGATGTTCCGTACCATCAGAGTTTACTCTTGTTATGTTACCCGTATCGAGTTCTTTGGTACCAAATAAGCTTCCAGAGACATCAGCACCATTTGTAAAGCACTTCAAGCTATCGGTACTGTCTGCCAAGGACAAGCTTACAGGTCCGTCTCTCACACAGACGTTTGTGGCTCCCCCATCTGATTCGACTTCACAACAGGCTTCATCACTGAAGGATCAGTTTTGACAGAATGATTGAGGGTTTGACCCCTCCTGCCGCATTAGCCTGCCAGCTTCAACATTTTGTCCACCTCCCCCCCATTTGGAGACCGACTGTTCCATTTCCAATAACCATGGGAACATATCACCTTGGACAAATGGGTGATGGAAGTAATATCATTGGGCTACGCCATCCATTTTACCTCCCTCCTTGTTCCCCTTTTCTTTCCCGCTTCAGGGACATCTCTAACAAATTACTGGTAAGACAGGAAGAAGAAGTGAGGTTCTTACCCACGAAAGCTTATGCTCCCAATACTTCTGTTAGTCTTAAAGGTGCCACAGGACCCTCTGTTGCTTTTTACAGATTCAGACTAACACGGCTACCCCTCTGATACCTGGATTCCTTGACATCCAGGGCCTTCCTACCCCTGGACAGATTTGTGACTTTATCACACCTTGTCAGAACTATTCAAGAGAGCCCCTAGACTTCAGTCAGAAACTGTCTTCATCTTGGTCACATGGCAGCTTGCACCTTTGTGACAGTGTGTACAAGGTTATGCCTTCACTGTTTTCAGGGGTGGCTCAAATCTGTTTACTCGCCCAACAGGCACAGACTAGACAAGTAGGTGTCAGTTCCCTAGCAGGTGAAGTATTCCCTAGACTAGTGGAAGGTCCATTGCAAGGTAGCAGCGGGGGTTCCCTTCCTCCAACATAATTGATAACCATGACCACGGATTCATCTCCGTTATGGTGGGTGGAGGGGCACACCTTGATTCTCTAACAGTGCAGGGCAGATGTTGATCCTAGGAAACCACCCTCCATCTCAACCTGTTGGAGCTCAAAGCGATCAGATATACCTGCCTTGAATTTCTGCCTCTCATCAGGCACAGATCTGTCAAGGTCATGATGGACTACATAGCCTGCATGTTCTGTATCAACTGGCAGAGAGGAACAAGATTGCCTTCTATCTGTGCCGAAGCAGTGAAATTATGGAAGTGGTGCATAAAATATTGCATAGGAATTTCAGTAGTGTAACTTCTGAGCAGACAAATTGTCATGGCTGATGTTCTCAGCAGGTGTTTTTCCCAAGACTGTGAATAGGAGTTGGATCTCCAGGTTCTAGTTGGTATTTTTTAGACTTGGGAGTTTCGAGAAGTCGACCTCTGCCACAACTGCAAACAAAAAATGCCATTTGCTTGCTTTGGGGAGGGTAACGTCACAATTCCTGGGGGGACACCTTCCTTCTCCCTTGGATGAAAAGGCAGTTTTATGCTTTTTCTCCTGATGCCTCTGATCCTCAGAATGACAAACAAAATCAGACAGGACAAGACCAGAGTCATCCTTAAAGCCCCGATGTTCAAGGCAAGCATGGTTTCCTTATCTGTTCCACCTAGCTCTTTATCCACTGATAAATCTTCTGATCACATCTGAACCTCTCTTTCAGGACGGCAGTCGACTGCTGTATGCGAATCTGAGCAGTCTCCTCGAGGCGTGGCTCCTCAGTGGTTTGCGGGGCTAGAGGTTGTCCTGTTCTGGAGAGGAACAATACAGATTATTCAATAGTAGGAAAGATTCAACCAGAAATACTTACCTTTAAAAGTGGAGATAAGTTAGTCATTAGTGTGAACTCCAGAAAGCTGTCCATGAAGTTGCCTTGCTTCTGCTCATTTTGGAATTCTTGTTGCAGCTTAAGAAAGCAGTACTTTCACTTAGTTCCTTCCAGGTTCTTCTGGCTGCCCTGACAGCTTTTCACACCACTATTGAGAGGTTCTCCCTGTTTGCAAGGTTCATGAAAGGTCTGGGAAATCTCTTCCCGTGGGTGAAAGTCCCTACCCCATTTTGGGACCTTTAATTTGGTTCTTAAGTCATATGAAGCCTCCTCTTGAACTGACGGCGACCTACTCCTTATTGAATTTCTCTATGGAAACAAACTTCTCCAGACACTATGCCTTAGTCAATGCCTCCAGATCTGATGCGGCAGTTGGCATTGCAGTTCTTTCCTTTAACTTATTTGACTCTGAATCGCCTTCCTCCATATGGGAATGCTGCTCCGGAGTCACCTGAAGTGGAGCACCCATAGGGATACTCAAAGAAAGAGAAGTTACCCTATGCAGTAACTGTAGTTCTTTGAGATGTGCATTCCTATGGGTGCTCCACTACTTGCCCTCCTTCCTCTCTGCTTTGGAGTTTTTCTGAGACTCAGATGTGGAGAAGGAACTGAGGCAGATTCACCCATGCAGTCTGATACAGCTTCAGTGTTGGGCACAAACATATCAGTGGCACATGCAGGGACTCAACAGACAGTGATAATAGAAAATCTCCATTCGAAGGTGTGTGGGGCACATGAACACCTGTAGGGGGATACATCTCAAAGAACTACAGTCCCTTCTCTTTTTGCCTAAACCAGAGAACAAGAAAGTTTGTCAGGGCACATATCCTTTACCTCAGGCTATTCTCAGTTTAAACCCTACTTCGTTCCCCATCGTTGAGTCCACATTAGTGATTCTTCTAAAGTTGGCATTTATGTAGAATTTGCAGAATTAAAATCTGCATATGTCTGGCACTGGAATTATCTTTATGATTGAAGTTAAGGACACCCACTGGTTGTTGAGCATATGGAGATTATGTATAGATGGTTGGAAGGAAGATGATGGTGGTTTAGAAGGGGAACTGATTAGTGCAGTGTAGACTGGATGTTTAAGAACTTCACTGCTTAACTTTTGATGTACTGTGTAGTTGTCTTATCACAGTTTTATTGAAGGTTTTGTGTGTGGAAAGAAGAATAAGGACACAGTCAGGCACAATATTGTGCCTGTTGGATAGGTTAGGTAACGAATCAATCTGATCAAGCTGTGAGTAGGCTGGAATCTCTGTATCAGACTTGTTCAGCCTGGCTAATTTTCTGATTTTTTTTTTTTTTTTTTTCTAGAGCTAAGACTATTAAGAACACAGTCTGTGTCAATGTGGAACTCACTGCAGAACAATGGAAAAAAAAGTATGAAAAAGAAAAAGAGAAAAACAAGACACTGCGTAACACCATACAGTGGCTTGAAAATGAGCTCAACAGATGGCGCAATGGTAAGAAGTTATTACATTTTTTGTTGCTTGAATTTTAGCTTAGTGAATATAGTTGAATTAGTCAAACTAGATCAGGCGTGGCCAGACAGTGGCTCGTGAGACAGATGAAGCTCTTTTATAATTAGTGTGGCCCATTCTCCACCTACCAGACAGGGGAGTGGGGGAAGCTTGGGGCTTCTGCCCTGCAGCGGGGTGGTGAGGCTAGGGGCTTCTACCCTGTGTGGGGGGAGGGAATGTTGCGGGGCATCAGGGCAGAAGCCCTGCGGGGCAGATTGTCTTGTGGCTCTCAAACTTCTGAAAATTATCATACGCAGCTTGGAAGGTCAGTAAGTTTGGCCACCCCTGGACTAGATGATCATCGTAGTCCCTTGGAATCTATGAATCGTTGAAAAGTAAATTTTAAAAAATGGGTATATCAAAAACTGATAAATCATAAACTGTAGTGTCAATCTGAAGTCTCATCTTCAACTTTGCATTTCATGGCTTGTTATAACCATAACGATACTGAGTTCTAGGTTAACTCTTCAATGTTACGCATTTTTTTTTCATTTTGTGAATCTGAGGTAAAGCCTATTAATTGCTATTCTTTTCCAAATAAACTCAATACACTAATTGAATCTTATTAAATTAATTTAAAAAAGTTAGTTTGGTAATGTTGCAGGTGTCTAAACGGGGTACAGACGCTCCCTGGGTTACGCAAACCCCGACTTACGCAAACCCACACTTACAGAAAAAGTTCCATAAGCGTGGGTTTGTTTTTTGTTTTTTTGCATAATTGTTGGGTATACGTCCCCGACTTATACAAAATTCGACTTACCGGAACGCTTGTGTAAGTCGGGGAGCGTCTGTAAACTATTTTTTACCCTTATATAACACTGACCAAATCTATTTTTCCAATTCAGTTTGCGTTACTATAAGACTTTGCTGACAATTTTAACGAGGAGCAAACTTTTACAGGCACATTAATGGCCTGTGAAAACTAGGGTTGTATAATCTTGAAACATGCTATTAAAATAGCATATAATCTTTGAGGCTACTGTAGTAGTCCTTATTCCTTTTAAAATAAATTGTAACTGAAACTACTGAAACGTGTGGCTAAGAATATTCCTTCATGTTTCAGTTGAGATGACATGCGTTAGCTTTCAATTTACTGGATTTTTGCTTCAGTAGTCACTGTATTTGTATTAGGTGTTTAACTTCTAGGAAAATATTGATTGCATTAAACCAGGGGTTCCCAAACTTGGTTCACGGCTTGTCTCGCGGCCCACCAGGGGCTTACCCTGAACAAGCTGCGAACCAAATTTGGGACCCCCTGCATTAAACTGTTGTACTTTTTAAATACATTAAATTGTATGGGAATGGTGGCTGTTTAAAGTAAATGTGCACTAATATGTTAAATGTTCTTTGTGGGAAGCACTTGTGGGATTATGGAAAGCGGGAACTTGGAATGCTGTGTTTTGGAAAATTTACTGTCTGTGGATGGCCAGATAGTTTTCATAATACTAATATTTAACAGGATTCTATTAATTAAAGGATAAGAATATAATTAATGCTACTCAAAGTGGTTTAATCAAACAAACAGATTACATTCTTTGAGATTACAAATTTGGCTGATAAAGGTAATTACATACATGAACTAGACTTGTATAATATGTTTGACTTAGTACTCACACCAGTCTAAAAAATTGGCACTATGCAATATTAAAGCACAAATTAAATAGATTAAGAACTGGTGAATTGACAGATCTCAAAGTAGTCATCCGTGGGAAATCATCGAATGGTGGGAGGGCTAGTAGGGTTATGACTTGATAGTATCAATAGCAGTGTTAATTACTGTTTAGTAAATACTATTTACTATTTGATACTATTTACTAATATATATATACTAAATATTGACACTATTTAACTGCTTGGTAAAGCCATTCAAACAATATGCGTTTTAATATAGCCAAATGCAAAGTTAAACATCTAGGAACAAAGAATGCAGGCTATGCTGTATCCTGGAAAGCAGGGACTATGAATGATATCTAGGGATCATAGTGAACAAGCAACTCAGCCTGAACTCCCAGTGTGATGCTGTGGCTAAAAGGTCTGTGATCCTTAGATGTATAAACAAGGAAGTAGGGACTATAGGAGTTGGGAGGTGATTTGACCTGTGTATAGTAGTAGTGTGATTGACTCTAGAATACTGTGTACAGTTCTGGTGTCCACATTCTAAAAATTGGAGTGGGTGTGGAAAAGAGCTGTAGAAGTAATTCAAGGGCTTGAAGAATGCCTTATCAGAGAGAGACAAGGTGGTTGATATCTTTTATTGTACCAACTTCTGTTGGTGAAAGACAAGATTTCAAGCTTACACAGAGCTCCTCTTATAGCAAGAGACTTAAAGCTCAATATATTTATCTTGTCAAAAAGAAGATTGAGAGGTGATTTGATTACAGGGTATAAGTGCCTTCACAGGGAGAAATGCTGGGTACTAAAAAGCTCTTCAGTTTACCAGAGAAAGGTATAACAAGACTCAAACTGGAAGCTGAAGCAGAAATAAGACCTACGTTTTTAAGTGAGGGTGATTTAACAACTGGACCAAACTATCAAGGGAAGTCGTGAATTCTCAGTCTTTCAAATAAAAGCTAGATCCTTTTCTAGAAGTTATGCTTTAGTCAAACAAATTGTGCTTACTCAAGCACACAAGTTATTAGACTCAGTAATTAACTGGAATAATAACTGGGTGAAATTTAAGGCCAGAAAACACCATTCGCCCATCAAGTCTGACTTCCTGTATATCACAGGCCCTTAAACTCTCTGGAATATTTTATTTACCATTTAACTACTACCTATCATAACTACGGACTATCTCATATATAACCTCTCAGGGATACTTCACTTTGAAAGACATTTCTAAACTAACTGTGATAAGAGAACATATTTATAAAATCTTTTTACTTAAGGGGAGATTGTACCAGTTGATGAGCAGTTTGACAAAGAGAAAGCCAACTTGGAAGCTTTTGCAGTGGATAAGGATGTTGCTATCAATAATGATAAACCAGCTGCTACAATTGGAGTGACTGGTAATTTTACTGATGCTGAAAGAAGAAAGTGTGACGAAGAAATCACTAAATTATACAAGCAACTTGATGACAAGGTATGTTGTTCTTGTTAAATATAAAATCTCTTAGTAAGCATGTTTGGAGCTACAGTAGTTGATTTTTAATTCAGACAAATCTTCATTTGTTAGTACAAATGAGCATGGTGGGTGTTCTCAATCCATATAACATGGTCTGACTGCAGTTCCCATGGATTAAACACAACAGAAACAATCCCCTCATTTGGGACTAATTGGCATTCTCTTTGTCAATTTCAACAGGCGGGGGCAGAGATTGAAAGGATAGAAAGAACAAAGCAAAGTGGGCCGAGCATAGGAAATAGATGAAAATGGAGTCTGATGTAGGCAGAGTAGAGTTGAATGCAGAACATTCTTTGAGACCACTCAGCTCCTTGATAGTTGGATGTCTGTGATAATACAATACTAATGGGAGGGGGAGGTAATATGCAGTTAAACTGATATTTGAGTGGTCTGTTTTGGAAAAGCTGAGAGATGTTGCTTATTTGTCCATTATTATATTTTACAAAATATGCCATTTGGTTACATATCTCTAACATGTAAACAATATTACAGTACTAAATATCTTAAAGTAATAAATTTATCTAAAGTCAGGAGAATTTTCATTCCTAGTAGGTTACTTAGAAGTTACAGAGAGCACATGTCCTAGTTCTTGAACTTGGAGAAGACATTGTGACGTAACAAAGGGGTAGGACTTTGCTCTTGGGTGCAAGGTAAATTACTACAAATGCATCTAAAGCTAGAAGCCTACTATATTTTTTTCATATCACTTTTGAGTCCACGAATCATCGGTCTTGTATTTAGTTTGATAATTGTTTCCAAAAATGGAAAGGTTGGTGAACAACTGACTTCTAATGTGTATTTGAGATTTTTGTGTGTTCAAACTGTTCAATGGATTGCTGGTTTTAATTGCAGGATGAAGAAATCAATCAGCAGAGCCAATTAGTAGAAAAGTTGAAGACACAAATGTTGGATCAGGAAGAGGTGAGTTTCACTATTGTGTATTTTATTTTGGGTTTTTCATTTGATAAAAAAAATAATTGGGGATAATGCAGAAAAAAACCACCTTAAAGTCATAACTAACTTTTCAGTAAACTGAAAGTAGGATGATTATATAAGGAAACTGGTTTATTCATTTACCACATCATAATCCTTCTCCAGTTTTAAAGTCAGAATCTAACTGTTCAATGTCTATCCAGAGCTCCCCGTTTGATGTACTTTGGCCAGTCAGTAACTACAGATTCACAAACCCCTTTACCAATTTAGTGTGTCTGTTAAGAGTTTTGTCACAGTAGGTCTTCCCCACCTTTTCCATGGGTATCAAGAAGTCTCATTCTTTAGAAGTTTCAAAATAATTGCATTCCTCTGTAGGAAGAATATGAAATGGAGGAAAAAAAAAAAACCCTCTTAAGTAGTGTTCATTTTAATCACCATATTTGGATTACAAAACTATTCAGTTTTACAAGGCATTGAGTTGTGACATCATAATTTGTATACAGTTATCCTCTTATCTAGGTTTGCTGGAAGTATTGGACATAATGTTTTTCTTTTTATTTATGAACTGTATATGAATCTGCTCTTGCTGTGTAATGCCAACCAAAAGTATTTAATTTGGTATAATTTATTTAAAAAACAAAGCTTTACCAGATCCTTCTGTTTCTGTTAATTTTGACAGATGTTTAGATTAGGTAATATTAATATCTAATTTCCATACAAAGCTAATATGTTTTTACTAAAAATTAGCTCTTTCGGTCACTGAATTATTTCTTAATTTTAGATGCAAATGATTCCATTGCTAGAGAAAACAGAAGGGAAGCGTGGGCAACCTTGCCTGGCTCTCCTATGTAAGAAAATAGATTTACTTAATTTTAAATATTTGTCTGAAGCCATGTCTACACTACAGAGTTATATTGACTTAAGTTAGAGCTATTCAGGCTGGAGCCACAGATACCAAAACGTCCACCAGTTTGAGAGATTTTTCCTGGACCATCTCTGGTTGGATATCTAGGGCCATAGCCATCCTCCTCAACCACTCCTGATGAGTCTTAAAATTGTCCCAAGGTGACGAAATAGTCTTCACTACAACTGCCTCATCTGGGGATGAGGAAGAGGGACTTAAGTTATGTCGACGATCATAAGCCACTTTAATTACATCAGTTGTGCATGTCCACACAATGCTCCTTGGGTTGGCGGAATGTGTCCACAGTGAGTGCTTCGTTTTGCGCTGTTTTTCAGCAGCCCTTGTTAACTGTGCGCCCACCATCTCTGCCTGAAAGCATGGATCCTGAACTGCTGACCAGTCTGGTAATGAGCATTATGAACACAACAGGGCTGGTTCTGCAGTATTTCATGAGCTGTGAATCGGTGGTGCCTGCCCTGCTGCCTGCTATAGAAAGAAATAATTCAAGATTGCGGCTTGCATTCATGGAGCAGCTGCACACAGTGGACCGTCGGTACTGAGCTCGGGAAACAAGCACAGAGTGGTGGTATCGCATTGTGATGCAAGTATGGGATGACAAGCAGTGGCTGCAGAACTTTCAGATGCACAAATCCACCTTCCTGGAACTGTGTGCGGAGCTCACCCTAGCGCTGCGGCACAAGGACACCAGAATGAGAGCTGTCCTCACTGTGGAAAAGCGAGTGGTAATTGCCGTGTGGAAGCTTGCAACTCCAGAGTGCTACTGGTCAGTCATGAATCAGTTTGGAGTTGGAAAGTCCACTGTAGGAGCTGCGGTGATGCAAGTATGCAGGGCCATTAATCACCACCTGCTCTGAAGGACTGTGACTCTCGGTAATGTGCAGGAAATAGTGGATGGCTATGAGGCAATGGGATTCCCTAACTGTGGCAGGGCAATATATGGAACGAATATCCCAATTTTGGCCCCAGACCATCTTGCAACGGAGTACATCAACTGGAAGGGCTACTTCTCCGTTGTGGATCAGCAAGGCCGTTTCACTGACATCAATGCGGGGTGGTCAGGAAAGGTGCGCACATCTTTAGGAACACTGGACTATATAGAAAGCTGCACAGTGGGACTTTCTTTCCTGACCAGAAGATTCAAATGGGGGATATGGAAATGTCCATAGTAATCCTGGGAGACCCCATCTACCCCTTTTTCTCCTGGTTGTGACTTTGCCGATTAAAAGATTGCTGGTACTGCCTTTTGGCAGGTTGATCATTTTCAGTCGACTGTGCTCTGCATAACATTTGCGAAGCAAAGGGAGAAAAGTTTCCCCGGGATGGAGCGCTGAGGTAGATCAGCTGGCTACTGATTTGGAGCCGCTAGGTACCCGGGCAGTTAGAGGGGCACAGCAGGGAGGGGGCTATTCGAATTAGGGAGGCTTTGAAGAAGCATTTTGACAATGATTTGCAGTAACGTGTCTTTATGTGATGCATTCGGCCAGGCAATATTTACTTGCCACCCTGAACAATCCCTTTAGTGCTTGCTTCCTGAGCTTTAATTGTACTGAGCAAATATTCCTGCCAATAGTCACTGTGTTTAAATGTTAGCACCAACTAACATGTATGGAACAAATAGACTCATTTTATTTCAAAGACTAAAGTTTAATAACAGGACGAAACGCAAATTTTGTCAAACGGGACATGGTAATGAGGAACAGTCTCTCAGTTACGGCTCTTACAGCTGCATGTAACTGCAGCTTTCATTGTGAAACCAGTCCTTGGAGTGCACAGGGTACTGCGAGGGACTGGGAACATGTGAGGAATGTGGTGGGGGAGTTTGGGGAGGGCATGGAATGAAGTTCTGTATTGGCTGCAGGGGGTGTCATGCATGAATATGCTCTGATTGCAGGCTAAAAGGGGACTTCAGCATCTCTGGCCCTCCAGTAGCTTTATCATCCGCTCCTGCCCCTGTGTCCTTTCCAGGCTACCCAGCCTGAGTCTTGTTAATTGTCTCCCTCCATGCTCTTGTTTTGCTATGTGCTGCATCTGTTGATTGCAACACTTTGCGAAACATATCCTCCTTATTCCTTCTGGTTTGCCGCCTTATCTGATTGAGGTGCTCCGCTGGTGTGGAGGAATGGGTCCTCAAGGGCACATCTGCAGAAGCCAAAGAAACAATTAACAGACAGTATTGTGAATTCACTCCGAGCCATGAATCACAAAAGTTACACACACCTCTTTCTCACTGTCCCTTTGCTAGCACACAGCTTGGTGAGAGTCTCAAATATGGTGAGTTTGATGGGGGGGTTCGGAAGTGGGGAATGAGCAAGAAGGGACAAAGGGTCTGGGTGATTTGCAAAGAGGGTCACTACATGCATAATCAAACCCAATATCTTACTCCTAAGGGTAACCCAGGATGCATCTCCTGCATGCATGCGGCTTCAGACTGGGTCTGTATGCTGCTCGCTAGTGTGCTGCTCTGATCCCTGCAGAAATAATTTCCGGTTGGCGTGGCAGTTTCCTACAGCGGGGGGGGGAAACAAGGCAGCTCTGCCAAGGAACTTTCAGCAGAGGATTGCAGAATACCTACAGAAAAATTTCCTAGAGATCTCTCTGGCGGATTCTCGGGACATGCTGGTGTACATTAAAGAACTTTTCCGCTGGGCCCGTGCTGTGTAGAAATTTGTTAATTTCTGTGCCTTATCCCTCCTCTACCATATAACAAAGTACATGAGCTCAATTTCCTCTCACCATGCTGTATCAAAGCAAAATCAAAGCTTACCAGAGCTCGCGTCCCTTGCTTCAGGAACGCCAGAGCTGGAGTGCTGGGACTGGCTGGACCTCTCCGGAGTCAAAAAGAGGTCCTGACTCACCACACCACTGGATGACCCTGTCGTGTTCCACAGCCTCCTCCAACTCCACTTCCTCGTCTATCACTTTACCACTTCATCCTCAGGGTTGACTCTGCTGGCCGCTGCCTCAAGTCCTCCCGAAGTATCCTTGGGGTTTTTGGTGGTTGAGGTGGGGTCGCTGCCAAGGATGGTGTGCAGCTCCTTGTAGAAGCGGCATGTCTTCTGCACTGCACCAGAGCGACGGTTGGCCTCCCTTGCCTTCTGGTATGTCTGTCTCAGCACATTGATCTTAGCACGGCACTGCTGCATGTCCCTTTCATGCCCCTTCTCCTGCATCCCACTAGTAATCAGGCTGTAGGTATCAAAGTTCCTATGCCTGAAACAAAGCTGCAACTGCACAGCCTCTTCTCCCCACAGACCCAGAAGATCCAACAGCTCTGGTGTACTCCACGCAGGAGCGTGTCTACTGTGGAAAGCCGGCATGGTCAGCTGGAAAGGTGCTGTTTTAACTGTCCATGCTGAACAAACAGGAAGAGGAATTTCAAAAATTCCCAATCCTTTAAACGGGGCAGGGGCGCATGCCTGTGTTTCTTCAGGGCAGCAGAGTTCAAACTGCTGACTAGAGCAGTCATGATGGGCATTGTGGGACACCTCCCGGAAGCCAGTTAGAGCAACATAAGCAAGCGCAGTGTCTACACTGACACTGCGTTGATCTGCCTTTTGTCACAAAAAGCTCTACACCTCTCGTCGAGGTGATCTTATTTTGTCGGCATAGCAGGAATGTTAAACCAGCGGGAGGAGCATTGTAGTGTGTACACCTCCACTGTTTTGTTGATGAAAGCTGACTTTTGTTGACAAAACTGTGTAGTGTAGACAAGGCCTGAGCATATAAGACTTTGACCATACTTCAGAAAATGGTTTCAGCTCTGGTTTTTCAATATTTTGAAAACTCTCCATTCTGCTTGGTCATGTGCCTATTCAGTAATGAAATATTAAAATACAGAGAGGGTGAAGTACTGGCCACGTTTATGTCAGTTGGGAGTTTAGAACATTCTAATTAAACTAACGATTAGCAACTTCTTTAAAGTTCACCAGGAAGATCTGCTGTATGATTTTCAAGCCTTCACACTCTCTCCCCACGCACACAGGTTTTGACTAATAGTTAACTGTAAATAAAAATGCAGATCTTGTCAGACCAGATATTGAAATATACAACATGAGCTTTGTCTACTATCCTTGACAAATAGTTTAACCATCTGTTTCTTAAAATATGGTTGTACTGAGGATAAGTTCAGGGATTGCTATTTCATAATGGTAGACCATGTACAAATTCTAAATAAATAAGGCTTTATACTCCAGGAGAAAATGTTCAGTAAGTTTAGGCTCCTACTTGCATTTCTTAATGTCACTGAAGTGACAACTTGTGTTTTATTACTTTTTTTTATCGCTTTTGTAGCTTCTAGCATCTACCAGGCGGGACCAAGACAATATGCAAGCTGAGCTGAATCGCCTCCAGGCTGAAAATGATGCCTCTAAAGAAGAAGTAAAAGAGGTGCTACAAGCCCTTGAGGAACTTGCTGTCAACTATGATCAGAAATCTCAGGAAGTAGAAGACAAAGCAAAGGAATATGAGCTGCTTAGTGACGAACTCAATCAGAAATCGGTAGGAAATCAGGACAGGGAATTACTAAATATCTGTAATGTAACTTTTTTGTTATTAGGAAACATGTTTTTTCAACTGCTTACATACGTTGTCTCTTTTAAATGGCTTTTTTGAGTGTTAAAACATGAAATTTAGCTTTATATTTTTCTGATGTGGAATTGTAATAGTTCTGATTTGATTATCTAAATCAGATTTTGGCAAATATTAATGTGATATGTAGCTTGCACAACAAATCATAGTTAATGGGAAAGATAGAAAATGCAATTTATATCTGCCATTCAGATTTCTCTTCTGGAGCCTCGGCTTGGAGTTGCCCTTTTGAGGAGTTATTCCATAGCTACTAATTTTTGCAATTTGCCTGGGGGAGTGGTGTCAAAATCCTGTTAAGTCACTGTAGTAGCAGGTTGTACAGTCAGTTCTGTTGCCTAAAGTGAGCAGAGGTATGTGTTGACTCTCAACACGTTAATGCAATAGGCAGTTCAAACTTATCACCCTTCAAAGGCTACCAGCAGTTAAGGGTGGAAAGTAGGCAGTTACTGTATTATTGATGAGAGAAGTGCCTGCCTGCCTTGCACTCTTGGTGTCCAAGTCTCATTCTGTGGGTCTGTTCTGTCCTCGTCCAGGTGTTAGCGGTATATCACCAACCAAAAGGTGAAGAAAGATTCCGCTCTATACTTTCTTCTATTTGAACTGCTTCAGAAGTTCTAATGTTTGTCAGGTTTTGAATTCATAAAAAAAAAAAAAATCTACTTAATCCTCTTTCCTGTGGATTCTTTCAATACTTTTCAAAACTATTACCCAGGTAAAATATTTTTCTTGTTGATTCAGTTTCCAGAACTACTGTTTTTAGGATGAATTTTGCCTTTGCTTCCATCACACTAGTAACACACAATTTTCTTTGTTTTTATTGCTTATATAAAAATTGTGTGGTTTCAGACAGGCAACATAGACGTTTCCATTTGTTTCCTTACCAACCAGTTGCAGAGTTTCTTAATTAAAAAAGCATTTTGTGATACAAAACTATATCTTCATTTGCATGAAACATTTTAGTTCTATCAGCTGTACTCCAGCTTGGGGAATTTGTTTTTCTTCTCTTCCCTGTGCTGACTTTCTTTATTTACATTTCACTTCCTTGCTATGCCAATGAGTAAATAACTGGATACTAGCTTGAGGTATTTGTTCTAAACTCTCTGCTATGGTGACTAGATGTACATAAGAGGTAGTATTTGTTGACTGTCAGCAACATAAGGCTGGTTGGGCCTTATTTGAAATAGCAATTAGTATCTGCCATCATGCCCATCTTTTTTTTTTCCCCTCCAAAGATTCTAGGTTGAATGGATAGCAGATACTTTAAGAACGAGAGCGCTGGTAAATTAGGATTATTTGACACTGGAACAATTTTAGAAGAAAGTGCTTCTCCATCTTTTTTTAGGTGGATTTTATCAAACTTGAGTAGTACAAAGACCTTAAATGATCAATCTAGAACCAGTACAAAAATATTTTTAAATTCGCACTTCTCCAAAGAACCTAACTCCAGGAATCCCTCTTGTGTGTCTGTGTGCAAGCCAGCTTGGGAGTTCTAGTAGTTATCCTAAACTTTTGGGCTCAGCAGCAGGCCTGTGGCATCCCTCTTGCCTGGGAATCTGCTAACTTCAGTCTGCATTTAAAGGCTTAGTTTCTTTCTGATTATAGTTGACGAAAAAGTTTCTTACGAGTGGGATCCTCTGATCACTAGTTTTTCTTAACTCAGTGTGAGGTGTCAAGACATTGCTGCATATACCCCAATGAAATTTTTTTGTTTCGGGTATAAATTTTCTGTTTAAACAAGATTTTGACAACTGGGGTCCCTTTGTCAGTGACAGGCTTGTCTCTTCTGGGCATGTTTGTGCCAAAATTGGGATAATTGGTTTCAGGCCTCCCTTGATCACAGGTGTGACGGGGATCCCTGGGGTACAACCTGGAACTGTGGGACTGTTGTTGCCCCTTAACTCTCCAGCCTGGGCTGTCTCTCACAAAGCTATGCCAGTGACAAGCAGCAAAACTCCTGTGATCAAAAGAGGCGCTGTGGTCACTCAGCCATCAGCATGTGGAGTCTCACACCCAGCTAAATTACATGAATGCTCCCTGAGCCATTCATGAATCATAGAGAGAGCCACCAGCAAATCACTCCAGCCTTGCACCCTGGAAATTTACAGTCTTACATTGCTCAAGACTCACTTGGACAGTGCAAGGTCATTAATTAGTTTGCCACTTTGTCAAAGGAAAGTGGACATGCATCAGCCTTTGTAATCTGAGCTGAGATTCCCCAAGGACTTCAACCAAAAACACACTGTTCAGGTAAAATATAAAAACAGATTTATTAATTACAGAAAGATTTTAAGTGATTGTAAGTAGCAGGTATATAGATCAAAGTTGATTACATAAGAAATAGAATTTAGAGTGTGAATTTATTTTTAACTTTAAGAGACTAAGCAGGATTTGAATCAGTCTCTCACCCTAATAGATCATACAGGCAGCTCACAGTTCTCAGTACACAGGCTGGATGCCCTTTCCAGCCTGGGACCAATCTCCCCAGCTCAAAGTCTTTCTTTCAGATGACCTTCCAGGTTTTGAGATGGGGGAAGAGAGGCCAAGTGATGACATCACTGTCCCTCTTTTATACTTTCTTCCAGCTGCTAGAAAGATCCTTGCTGTGAGGTGGGTTAGGCTGTCCTCGCTGAGAAGCCTCAGAGAGTGGATTTTTCTTGCTTGGCCATCAACACCTGTCTGGCCAGTGATAGTTGCTCCTTTTGTCCCTACTGAAAGGCCAGCTATGGATGTCTCCCAGACTCACAACATATTTCAGTAACACATGGCAATTTCACATACAATGATAGTACATACAATACAACAGGATATAAAATGAGACCTCACCAGCATGCATTGTAAAAAACATATCATAATCATATGACAGTGGTGAATATGGGGGGTTTCATGGTGCTACTTTGAGGTCTAGAGAGTCACAACATGTGTAGTTGATGTTGAGCTTATTAATCCCAACTTCATTGGAACATTGGGCTTCTGAAACTTGCCTTGATACAAGTGTACTATTTGCATTCCAAGCTTTGTTCTAATCTTAGTAAATCATTCCTTAGCAACAAGGATGGGCCTCACATTTTTACTAGAAGTAGTAAACAGTCTCTTGTGTAGCTTCCCCCTCCACCTTTTTTTAAAATAGTTTTTGCCAGAGCCTTTTAAGTGTGTGTAGAGTGCAGTTTTAACTTGCCTGTCATAGAATGGTATGGTTTACATGGGGCATTCTTCAGAAACATCCATGATTGGCTGTGGGATATGTTAACAGTTGTTGCCATGATCCAGTGAACACACCTGAAAGCTCCTCTGGTTTCGTACAGTTCTTTAGCCAAGTCCTTTTCAAAAACCAGTCTTAAGACTTAAAAGTGATTTGAGACTTTATATTGGTGCCATAAATCCAATAAGGCAGGCACTGGTGTCATTCTCATCATTGTAAAACACCTAGCTGGATCCCATGCACTACTTCTGCTGCTCTGTCAAGGCTTTGATTCCTCAGGTGCCTGAATCTGCTTTATTGAGTAAGATGTCACCTCTGTCCATCGTGATCTTTGAGAGTGGACCATGCTTGATTTGTACCATACTCTGCTCTTAACTTCAGAGACCAAAAGTTTCTGGTCACTTCAGGATAGACCTGGTACCTTTGACGGTGTTCCTGGTCTTTGCACTGAAGCACTGGCCTAACAGCTGTAATGGTCAGTGTCCTCTACATCCTGGAATACCTGGGTGCATTGGCTTTGGTACCCATGCACTGAGTCTTGGAACCATAAACGCCATTGCCTTGGCCACATTGTTGGCCTCTTTGTAAACAGTGTATGTTGCTGCCAGTGCAGCCACTATGCTGCAAGTTATTTACAGCATACTGATGTTTGTCTGGGATGAAGTGAATGCTGCCAAGGAACAGGAATGTTAGAAATTTGTTTATTGTTCAGAAGGGCAAGAACTACCAGTTTTCCCCCAGGATGATCCAGCTTTGTTTTTTGTTTAAAGGTAGCTATAGCCATCCCATTTGAGATGGAGACCGTCCAGGAAAGCCCAAGGGCTTTGGTATTACGGTACTAAGAACAGAGATACTTCCCACAGAAAGGGCCCTTATACTGTACTCTGGATCAGTTGGTAAAATATGGCAGAACACTCAATTGTAGAAAGTACCATTTGGGTTTAGGACGTCACAGGCTGTTCTTCTCACTATGCCTATGGTACATTGTTCCCTAGCCATGATTCAGAATACCAAGATGCCTTTGGATGCAAGATAAGAGTGAGCAGTGTTGGCAACATTCGTTTGGACTGTCTTCCTGCTAAAATATCAGCAAACTGTGGGAGAAGTTGCACCTTTGTTTAAAGAATTCACAGACTAACATGCTACAGTGTGGACATGACCACACGTCAGGTGCAAGGTTCCCTTGATAATGCATTGATATCTGTTTATTTGTGATGTTTGAGGTAATAGTGATAAGTATTTATCATTGATGCTTGCAGGCATGTATGGCCGCATTCATCAAGCCTTTGTATTGATACTCAGCAGAAGGTAAAGAACCTGGCAACAAACCTTTGTGAAAATGGAAAAAATGGAGTCACTCAAAGACTAAGGAAACTAAAACAACCTTCTGTTCTCTTAGGGTCATTATCCAGTAATTGTCTACCTCCATCTATAGAAAAGGCAGTCTTTTGGTATAAGTTTCTGATGCTGAACCTAAATGTGCTTCGGATGACTTTATCAAAATTAAGGTTGGAGAACAACGAAGAAGTATGGTCTGTTTGGCAGCTGGTATTGGCATAAAGTGGCTTCTTCAATTTAAGTCTAACCCTGAATTTAGAGTTAGCTGTTGGTGGCACATGGATGGGCCAATCCTCAGTCTGTGTAAATTGGCATACCTTTATTGTGAATGTCTGCTCTAGAATTAATGACACTGCTCAAAAAGACAATTTAGAAACTTCTCCCACAGCCATATCTGTTCAGAAAGCTCTAGGCAGGGATGGACTGAAATTGATGTAATCTGCTTCTGTGCAGAAGACAGCAGATAAACATCTAAATTGTCCCACCAGCAAAACATACATAGTGATGAATGTATGTCTTACTATGAGAGAAAGCAGATAAAGGATGGGTCACATTTTAATGTCTTTGAGAAAAACCCCTGTGCTGTCACACATTGGTAAATGTAACCATAAATGCTCTTCTAGGGTGTTGGCAGAATCATTGGCAGAGTTGCAGGATTATGTATTGTGTGCTGAAGGGCTTTGTGTCTTTCAGAAAAGAACTCTAGGAGTTTTGGTGAAATACTATTAGTTGTTGAAACTTTTGTTTTGCATATTATGCTACTCTACAGTGCTTGCAGGTTTTTAACAGTTACTTTTAAAACATAATGTAGTTACCAGATTGGGGCACTTTAATGGAGGGACAAGATTTTGCTAATATCTAAATAAAAAATTAGAAAATTAATTTTGAGATTGCGGGATGGAAAAACAAAGAAAAATATTCCCATGTAAAGATTTAAACTGATAAAATCTAATTTTACACCTTCATCCCTTGTTCTAGGTAATTTTAGCCAATATAGATGCAGAGCTTCAGAAACTTAAAGAAATGACCAACCACCAGAAAAAGCGGGCAACAGAGATGATGGCCTCCTTATTAAAAGATCTTGCAGAAATAGGATTTGCAGTAGGAAATAATGACGCAAAGGTAAAAAGAGGAGCTGTCACAAATGTAAAATGATACATACATTAATTCATGTTTAGGTCTCTTCAGTCTAGTAAAGATATAATAACTAGGGTAATTTATAACACCTGTACCATATAAATGTCTTCCTGTAAGGTTCTGAGAGAGGATAAAGAGAACCAAGTGTTAGTATTTGCCTTTTACAGCTTATACAGTGTTTATCTCTGACTTATTTATAACAAGGCATAGTGTACAAAGTCTGCGAACAGTTTAGTCTAACTATGCAAATACAGTGCAAACATTCCTCAACTTAAGTCACCAGATGTAATTTGGCACAGTTGATGGTACCTGCTTAGGAAAGGCTGAGCACTGACCGGGAATGGTTGCTTTTACTTCTAGAATAGCTGTTCCTTCCAGAGTAATTGAGGTAACTAATAAGCCATGTATAGAAGATACTACAGCTGCCTATACCTTCCCTGTGGGTGAGCATTGGCCTGCTAAACCCAGGGTTGTGAGTTCAGTCCTTGAGGGGGCCATTTAGGGAACTGGGGTAAAAATCTGTCTGGGGATTGGTCCTGCTTTGAGCAGGGGGTTGGACTAGATGACCTCCTGAGTTCCCTTCCAACCCTGATATTCTATGATCTAAGACGACTTCATTTTCCACTTCAGACAGTTTCTTTTCAAATACTCACATGTGTTCACTTAGAAAAATCCCAAATAGACTAAAAAAAACTAAATTATTTTGAAGTTTGTCGCTGACCTGTAAACACTTGCAGTGACCTACAGCTTGACAAACACAAGTCAGAATTTCTTGAGGTGAAAAAAGTATGACTTAGGCTAGCCTTTCTAGTGGGAAGCAGGTGGGGTTAAGTTGTGTGTGAAAATGGAAAACAGTAGTAGCTGTGGCTACCATAAACATGGTCTGAAATTGAATAGCAGTGCCATGACTGTGTACTAGGGACTAGGCACTTCTGGTTTTCTGATTGCACTTTGAGCTGCCGCATCCCATATTTAATATGAATATTAATGATTTTTTTGATCACTTAAACCTTTCAAATTCTGAATTTCTCTTTCAGCAGCCTGAAGGAACTGGCATGATAGATGAAGAATTCACAGTTGCAAGACTGTACATTAGCAAAATGAAATCAGAAGTGAAAACAATGGTAAAACGCTGCAAGCAGTTAGAAAGCACTCAAACTGAAAGCAATAAAAAAATTGAAGAAAACGAAAAGGAGCTGGCAGCTTGTCAGCTTCTTATCTCACAGGTAAATGTTGCATTACTCTAGCTTTGCTGATTCAAGTCACTTTTGAAACATGATTCTTATGTTGGTTGTTTATCTAGTTACTGGTCAGTAGCTAGGTTGCTCTCACTTAACCTATAGCATACATTTTTGAAAATAGACAAGGTGGATGCAGTAATATCTTTTATTGAACCAGCTTCCGTTGGTGAGAGACAAGCTTTCGAGCTTACACAGAAGTCTTTTTCAGGTCAGATTGTGAAAATAGTAATTCAGAGGTTTTGATCTGAACTTCTTTTTGCAGAACAAGTGAGAACTCAGACATCTGTTTCTTCAAACTGTCTTAATGTTGTATTCATCAACCTGTTTTTAATATCAGCAATATACTAAAGTGTTTAAGATTATCTTAAAAAATCTTATCATTCCTGATACAAAGTACACCGAGAACTATAGACACCAAGGGGACTTAATGCTTCCTGTGAAGCATAAGAGCACAGTTGAGTGGTTTCGGATGTCTTAAAACCCCAATATAGGTTCCTAGACTTAAATCTCCATTTTCATAATTTTATATTTAACACTGAAACAACATTCTTATACTGGGTTAATCTTACTTTTGTGACTTCTTGACTTTCTTTTTGCTGTTGGAGGAGTGTTGCATACAAATAACAATTTCTCAAAGCTTGAAAAAGCAGTCATTTTTTCTGAAGTACTCTGAGGAGACCGCCAGTTTAAACACCAATTGAAAGGAGGAAGGGAGGCAAGGCATCAGGGTGTAGACACAGTATGAGGAGGTTATCACAGTAGAACTGCTCTTCTTTTTTTTTTTTCTTTTCTTTTCAAAATTTTAAATTAGCTGTCCATATGTAATAATCTGGCTGCTCCCCTAATTCTTTTCTCTGTGGGACTGGTATGACTTTATCTCCATCTTATAGGGCAAGCAACTTTCCATTTCTGGATAGATAAATCCTCAAGTGCAACAGGGTGGATTAATTTAAATCAGGGCAATTTAAATAATCATTTTGAATCAACTTTTCCATTTATACTTCAGTTATTTTCTAAAGAAAGGTCCATTCTCATTGGTTGATCTAACCATTAAAACATGTTGATTTACAACTAAATAGAGCCTCCACACTTGATTTGGTACATCTTTTTGTCACCTAGGAAGCTACACTATAACTATATACATTTATTTAAGCAACTATATAGCTCAATATTTTTAGGTTCTTATTAATTATACATTTTAAGTATGTTAGAAAATGGTGAATGAAATATTTATTTACTAGATAATTAACTTTTTGCTTATGATGTGTGTCAAGCTGCATTAGGATGGTAACTGGTATTTAAACAAACACACACAACCACATATAACATTTATTTTTATTAAACAAAATAACCTTAAATGTTTTGGATACATAAACTTATCAAAACATGTTTCACATTTACAACTAAGTGATTTATTAAAGAAACAGAGGTATTAACAATAGTCAGTGAATTAAACTGATTGTTTCAGGTCTGCTGGGGACATTTTTTTCAAATATGCCTTAGTAAAAGTGACTGGAGCTGAAGTTCCTACTCACCTAAGTCTCTTGAAAATGAGACAGCAGTCTCCTAACTTACATAGGCTGTCCTACAGACTTTTAAAACAGTAAATATCATCCCCTCCCTCCTCATTTTTAGTCAGACTGCTTTTTCAACTCCCAATCAATTTGTCAACTTTGAATTAGTCTAAATGAAGAAAATATTCCTTCTGTGCCTGCAGAAGAAGCTAGTGCTGTCAAAAGCTGGGTTAGCATTTCCACAATATCTGGTCCTACAGATTTCCATCAGTTCATTAGAATGACTTTCTTTAAAACATCATCAGCAAACATGTACTGTTTGAGTGGTTCACTTCCACTCCTGAAATTTAATAGGTTTGCCATGATTGGTTGGTGCCCAGGTTACAGCAGCATCTTCTCCAGCACTTAAGTATCTACCCTGGTACTTTGGGTTGAGAATATTGACAAGAAAATGAGATGGAGTAAGTGCTTGATCCATCCATTTCTGTACTGCCTGCAATTTAACTTTGTTATTGGGCATTTCTTACTCCAGTGTCTCTTGAAGTACACTTCCAAATTTCAACACCAGCAGCAATCTTTCTGCAGTTTGTCCAAAGCCATGGAAATATATTTCAGAGTATTCGGTTTCAGCTTATCTTCATGTCTGTTAAATCCATACTTTGGCTTAGATAGTTTCATTTGTTTTGTCACAATTTTCCTCACAAATTGTCATCAGAATAGGCCAGTTCTTAATAAATAGCACAAAACAGTCATCCACTGAATTCCATCAGACATCTTGGAGAAGAATTAGTTTGGATCGTCCTACTCTCTTCAGTGAAGCTGAAGCAAAGTGTTTGTTATGGAAGTATTTTGCTATTTCAACATTTTCCTTTATTCCTGCAGTTGTATTTACATCTCTGGCTAAAAGATGCATCAGATGAGCATGGCCCTCATGTTACAAGTTTCAGGTTCACTTCATTATCTTCTAGATTTCTTCTCATCTTTGCTACATTTACAGCATTGCCTCTGACAAAGTTATGCATTTGATACTTGAATTTTTGTCCAGTTTGTTGCAGCTTTTTTTTTTTTTTTTTTTAAGTATTCTGATATATGGGCATTTACTGATTGCTCCAATTGTTTTGGTAAGATAGACAACCACATCTTGTGTTACATAGCGCACATTACTGGATCAGTGTGTGCATGGCTAAACCATCAAGACTGTAATTAACAAATTTCCTGTCAGTTTTTTGTACACTGTTCATTTTCCTTCTCATACACTGTATCCAGCAACCTTCCAGCAATGTCTGCTCTGCTGAGTTGAGTATAGCCTGGTCATATTGATTGTACCATGTCAATAAAATGTTTGTTCTGAACAAGACAAAAGGAGCGAACTTGATGCATAAATAAACCATGCATCCGTTTCATCTATGGAGTCTTGCTGGAATTTGCTGATCCAGATTATAAATTCTTCCATGATTTTACGGGATGACAAAGAAAGTCTCTTCCCCCCACCCCCACCCCTTTTTTTTCTTTTTTAAGCAGGTGATTTACTATCTAGTGTCTATTAGTTGCAGCACTGCTGGTGATACCAGCAGATGACTCTGAAGCTGTAGACATTGCAGATGGAATGTTCATAACTCTTTATGTCTAAGCTGGACCCTGAAACAAAATGGTTTAAAAAAAAAAAAAAAAAAAGTGCCACTCACGCTGAGTATTACTCAGTGAACTGCTTTAACAGTACACTGAGATTTGTAAATTGATTCATCTTACTGCAGCTGTTTGTACCACTGTTTAAATGGTATAACTTATTGTAAACCCAACTTCATAGGGAAATAATTAATAAATCATAAGTATTATCTAAATCTATTTAAATCTTTATTTCTAGCAACATACCAAACAGCTTGGGGGGGAAAAAAATTAAAATGTTAAAATTTATGAATGACTAATAAAACTTTATTGTTAAACAGGAAATCTGCACCTAGGACGTTTGATCATGTTAGCAATAAAAAATCATCTCAGAAGTTCAGCAATTACAGTAAAATGTAATTGATAACTACTCGTGCAGCAAACTAACATACCAACTATAGTTTGAACACACATTTTGAAATTCATAAGTAATCAAGCCATCCAAAACTCAACTTAGATTACTGTCAAAAATGTATTATTCTCTAGCATAGTAAAACATGGTAGGCAGTGCTTAAGAATGGTGCAAAAATATGTTGACCAATCAGTTGATCCAAATTGTTTCAAACATGTCCACATCATCATCTTCAAAGTCATTGCATTCTGAGGAGCATTTTTCATAATGTTTCATTCTGACAACTAGATCTTACATCTTTGTTGCACTGTTTACATTTGGCACATGTTCCTTTTTTTTACTCTGAGGTACAGGATTTTCTTGAAAATACTCCCTAACAGGGACTATGACATGCAGCCACAGCAGTTTTTTCCTCCTGTTTCCAGGTGTTGAAATCAACACTAGAGGCTGCACTCAAATGAATGTCATCCCTTCTTCACACAGTGTCCTGCTTTGACACCAGTGTTGCTCCCTTTGGGTTGTGTACACTACTTCTCCCTTATTATATAACTCCGCCATCACTGCCCCCAGAAAAACAAGGACTAATAACAATCCAGGATTGTTGCTTGTGTAACCCACATGCCTTTTGCACTGCAGTATTTTATTTGTTTGGAGACAGAGAAGCAATTAAGAAATTAATGGATTTCTGTGTGTAACTCTCTGTGTACACATGCCAGGAGACAGAGCAAGGTCATTTACTTGAAGTGTCCAGAACCAACACGAAGCAAGGGCTGGTAGTTACTAGGCAGATCAGTGTTTGTCCATGAGCTGGAGAGTAAGTTTCAATGGAAGGTGGAATCTTAAATATTCATAATTTGAGATCACGTAGAGAGAAGCTATAAAACAGGAGTGGATGATCCTAATGAGATGCATGATGGTGTCTCCTGAAGTCAGAGGCCAGATTCCAGTGCCTGTGATGATTTTGCCAGTCTCTTGCACCAAGTAGCACAGCCCCTAGGTCCCCCACAGGATCAAACCCTTAAACAGTATATGATGTATTATGCCATATTTATAAAGTTTGACCTCAAAAGCCAGATATTTCCCCCCTGACTTTCTTTATAGAGAAAAGCGGCCTTTAACTCAGTTTTTGATAGAGACTCATGGATTCAGCATATTTTTTTATTTTAATGTTTTAAGAGATTATAATTTTAGGCCTTAACAAATCTTGCATTAGATTCAGATTTCATTGTAAACAGGTTTATTTTAAAAATAAAACTTATGTAAATAATAAAATATTTAAATTTTAAAAAATAATTTTTAAAAATGTTCCAAAAAAATCAATTTTTATCCACCTGATGTACAAAGATAAAAATATATAGCTTGCCTTTCGCTCATTCCATCAATGTATTTACCTGTGATCAGAGGTTTTTGAAGTATTATGATAGTGTGTACAAGGCATACTATGAGGGTCTTGATCCTGAATTGGGTCAAGCCTTCCTTTTTCTAGAAAAAGAGAATATTTGTATGCATTTGGTTTTCAGATTAGTTATTTTTGCCTTTTAAATTTTTTAATATTTTTAAGTCTTGCATGGAACTTCATTTTGATATGCCTAGTTTAAATGTAAATTAATGTCGTTTTCATTCTGAAAGCATGAAGCCAAGATCAAGTCACTGACAGAGTATCTTCAGAATGTGGAACAGAAAAGGAGGCAACTGGAAGAATCTGTGGATTCCCTTAATGAAGAACTAGTCCAGCTTCGGGCACAGGGTCTGAATTATTCTTTATATTTAAGTATGTAACCATTAATGTGGCTAAGCAGTATGCATAACTGGCATCGGAGAAGATATGTGGTTAGTGTTTGTCCTATTAAGATAGCAGTCTAGTGCTATATAATGTGTAATTTAGAAGTTTTAGAAAACAAAGTAAAGTAGTTAGAGATAATGTATTTGGAGACACTTGTTGTCTGAAAGAACTATTCAGAACAGGGTTAAGATACAGATATAAGACTGCACCTTAATCTGTCTGCATATGAAAAACTAATTCAAGGTTTAAAATGAAAGGGTGTAAGTATAAATCTGACAGTTGTTGCTGTGATTGACTAGGCTCTGTAACTGAAAACTTTATTTTCTCATTAGAAAAAGTCCATGAAATGGAGAAGGAGCACTTAAATAAGGTCGAAACTGCAAATGAAGTCAAGGCAAGTTAATGTATTTTGCTTTTCCTTAATAGTTTTATATAAAACTTCGTATTTTAAATAGTAAAACAAATATTCTTTTTTTCTATAGCAAGCTGTTGAGCAGCAGATTCAGAGCCACCGTGAGACACATCAAAAGCAACTTAGTAGCCTAAGAGATGAAATTGATGCAAAGGAGAAGCTTATTACTGAACTTCAAGAGTAAGAGTTGTGCTGTTAAAATATTTTATTGATTTTTACTTAATTACCTCAGTAGTCTAAAAATTTATTACTTTAACCATATGCCTAGCAGATTACTGAATTCCTTAGGATATTAATTTCTGGGTAATATTTGATTATTCTGATTTAATTAGTTCTTCAGTTAAGTCTTTAACCATTCTTCATAGTAGTGAGTAGGATAACTCATTGCTGTCACCTGAAGTACTGTGCTCAAAACAAAGCAAAGAATGTCATCCTTTTTTTTTTACTCTGGTTTGTTGGTGCTGAGTTTCAGGGTTTCTACAAGTGATGAGTAATGAAAAAAACAATGACATTTAGCATTTGGAAATCCTAACTTTAGTGTGAATAAAATAAAGATAATATACTAGGCATCTATTGGTATAGTGAAAAAACCTTCTTTCCAACATTGTAAACATGTTTACTGTGAGCGTGATGCTTTGATAAAGATTTCATTCATCTGACAGATGATCATTTCATTTGTTGATCATTTATCAGATAATCAGACCTGCGTAAGAGTTAGTTGCTAAGATTTCTGATTAAATTTATAATGCAGTCTGAACTGACTCCTTTTGGACCTTACAATCCTGTCTCAGCTTAGTTTTGTTAAAGAATGGCATATAATGATGAAGACTTGGAGCATTGTCGAAGTATCATTATGTTTCTCTATAATTGTATATTAATCCTAACTTTCTGTGCCCAGCCAAAACCAGAAGATGATGCTTGAGCAAGAACGTCTTAGAGTTGAGCATGAGAAACTGAGAGCTACAGATCAGGAGAAAAGCAGAAAACTGCATGAACTTACGTAAGTAATAATCATACTTCAGGCAAGAAAATGTGTGGCTGGGGATCTTAAAATTGTAAATACTGGTGAGCTGAAGTGGTGTGGGAGATGTTCATTACTTAACACATTACTAAGGATACGATTCTGTCACAGAGGTCACGAGTTCTGTGGCTTTCTGGGGACCTCTGAGACTACTTCTGAGACAGGGAGGGAGCAGCTGTCAGATCCGGGCTGCCGGAGCAAAGGCTGCTGGAACAGCTGATCGGTGGCCACCCGGGGGTCGACGGAACAGCTGGCCACCATCCAGCCCCGGAGCAGGGGGCCGGTGGAACAACTGGCTGGCGAGGGGACACCAGAGTAGTGGCTTGGGTTGTGTGAGCAGCAGTGGTCAGCCCCCTGTGGGGCTGGAGCAGCTGCAAGCCCCAGCAGCTCTCTTTGTCCCTCTCTGCCCCTCAAGGTTGCGGGCTTCCATGAATTTTTGTTTGTCTACGGCCTGTCCCTGACTTTTACTAAAAAATATCTGATAGAATCTTAACCTTGCATATGACGTAAAGCCTCCAGAACTGCTCAGCCACACTATCCATAGTCATGTTAGTTCCTCCAATATTAGAATATTATATTAGTTTTGTGCCACTTCACTTCAAAATAGTCCATATTTTAAGAGAACTGTTTTCCCTCCCCATGGCAGCCACAGTTACTTGAGATGTTGTTGTGATTTAAGAATTCCATTACTGTTCTGAAGTGGAAATGGGCTACTACTTGTAGGATTGTTTACTCATCTTTAATATATTTTCTTCCTCTCATCTCACTGTTCTCCCCCTCCCCTTTTTAAAAATCAAAGTCTGAAAATGTGACCTGATTCTGAGGCGGCACACCCCCCTCCCCCCCAAAATAAACATGCTACCGTTTAGTTGGCTGTAATGCCAGTTCTTTATGGGAGAACCATTTTGGATTACCCACATGCCAAATTTAAAATGGGTAGTGGTTTGCCCGGTGCATGCAAGATTGAATCTCCTATAGACTTTTTCAGGAAATTAAATAAACTGTTTAAGGAAATTGGTTATGATGGCTCAAAATTGGATGTATAAATGTAAAAAGAAATTTCTCTAAATGCCTCTAGCCAGAGGAGCTCTCATGGAAATCTTTTTAAAGACTTTGTCCAAAAATTTATTAATTTATGTGGGGATTGGGACACAAAACATACTCTAGTTTACAGAAAATTGGTGAGCATGTATTTGGAAGGATTACCAGAGAGTTGAATGCATTGTTTTATTGACTGCCTTATTGAACTATGTAATTTACATTTACTGGGTGTCATATTTTGCCCTGACGTATTGTAGTTTTCCGTAAAGACAAAACCTGAAATTTTTATTCATGCCTGAAAACTTGTAGGAGATTTTAATTTTGCGTACCTAAAACTTGAAAATCAGTCATGAACTTGGTTACATTGGTCTGGGAGCTGCTGGTCAGTCAATGATCAGTGGCAAAACAAAATCCCTTTTAGAGTGATGGCAGCCAAAGCACGTCTAAGGTCTAATATTATCAATCGTCAAAGATTTTTAAACAAATGCCCTTACACCAGTGGAAAATGCAGCTTTATTTTGTATCTTGGTAGGTTACAATTTTTTGGCCCATAAAGTCACTTCATTCTAACTCTGCTTTATGTCCACACCCCCAAAGCAATTTGGAACCAAATTATATCAAGCATTAATCTCTTAATCTATTGGTTCCTCATACAATATGCATAATTGAATCATATTATTATTGAAGTTTGGATGGCGTGAAGTGTAAGATTATCACAATTAGATGATTTTAAAGTGTAGGCCAAGGTATATCATTTTTAACTTTATACTGTACAGTACCATAAATGCATGGCCTTTTCAAACCAAAGACAATGCTGAATACTAACAGTGTAAAACTTGTTTAGTCTCAAACTCAAAAACATATTTATAAATTTGCTGTGACTCCCTCCAGATGAGATCTGAAATGCAGCTGGAGCTCATGAGCATTTCCTGTTGCAACATTAGAAGTGGTAGAATAGCCTAATCAATTTAGACTTCAGACTTTTGGTGATACTGGGTGGAAGGAAATTGTTGTTATAAAGACAGAAAAAAAACTTTGCAAAGTTCTGTTTCCTTTCTCCTTAAACCCAACACTGGTTCCCTACTTTTCACCCTTCACTATGTTTTTGATCATAATAAAGTGCCTGGGTCCTTTCCCCAGTATCCTGCCTGATCTCTCCAATTGCCTCATAATTTGAAAGTAGCTGAAACCAGAGGCCTTAACAATAAAGTTGATGCTTATTTCCCAGGAAGAAATCTTAAATAGGATGTTGAGAGAGACCCTATAATGTGATTGGTGTCATTAGGCTGTTGTATCTTTTGGAAATTGGAAATCTGAACTGCTAATATATAAAGGAAGAAATCAGCATAACAACATGAAAAGTTTTTTTCAAATTGAATAAATCCCCCAGCCCACCCCCACATACTATCTATTATCTCCTTGACCAGTCAACGCTAGAAATATTTGTAGGAGCAGTAGATCTTTCCAAGCAATGGCTCTGGACCTATAATCAGAAGTTTTCAACCTCTAGTATGTTAATATGGTGGTTTTAGGGTGTTCTATAACTCAGCTGTCTGAACTGACTTATTGAAATCCCTTTTAATGCTAATTGTATACAAATTTTCACACAATATCCCTGCTCTTCTAGTCTTGGGCTCTTGAATGCTCTGCCATCTGTGACTGATTGTAGGGTGGTTTTGCACTTTGCATAATTAAGGACTTAATCTCCTTTCTATTTGGAACATAAAGTAGGATTTATAAGGTTTGTATTTTACACAAATATAAATGTTTAGCTGTACTAGTGTGTATATATTCTCTTTAATTGTTAGGGTTATGCAAGACAGACGAGAACAAGCAAGACAAGATTTGAAGGGTTTGGAAGAGACTGTGGTAAGTTAGTTATTACAATGTGTACTTGAACAAAAGTTACAAGCATTTATTTTATGTTAAGAATTCTAAGCTGTAAAATGCTTATTTGTTGTTTTAGGCAAAAGAACTTCAAACGCTACACAACCTTCGGAAGCTGTTTGTTCAAGATCTGGCTACCAGAGTTAAAAAGGTAACATGACATGATAGCAAGACTTGTCTCTATTTAAATGTGGAAGGAAGGAAGTGAGCCTAACTAATTTAATGTAATGTAGTTCCTTTGGTTCCGGTTTTATTAGAAATCTGAACACCCACATATCACTATTTTCTGTTATTCCCATAGAGTGCAGAGATTGACTCAGATGATACGGGAGGCAGTGCTGCGCAAAAACAGAAAATTTCCTTTCTTGAGAATAATCTTGAGCAGCTCACAAAAGTCCACAAACAGGTATAGTAAAACTTAAGACTAAATTAATTTAACTTTAGAACTTTAAAATACATCTTGAACAAGGAACAGTTTTTGAAGGTATAATGCATGTGTACATATTTGTATCCTGGAGTAGTTGTTCAGACACTTCAGAGATGCTTGCTTGTCTCAAATTTTAACTTCAATTTTTAATATTAAATACATAGACTAGTGTATTCCTATGAAGGTTTTTTACAATAATTTAGACTTAAATGGTGGTGTGTGTTTGTATATATAATGTAGTGATGTCTATCTATATTTAGATAAGAGGTGTAGTTCTATTGACTCTTAATACTTAAAAGTAAATTTTACTGCTCATATGTATTATTTTAATTACCGTATATACTCATTCATAAGCTGAATTTTTTTAGTAAAAAAGGGAAGCACCAGAGAAGGGGGTCGGCTTATGACATGTGGTTTCCTTATCTAAAAAAAGATATACTGGCACTAGAAAAGGTTCAGAAAAGGGCAACTAAAATGATTAGGGGTTTGGAATGGGTCCCATATGAGGAGAGATTAAAGAGGCTAGGACTCTTCAGCTTGGAAAAGAGGAGACTAAGGGGGGATATGATAGAGGTATATAAAATCATGAGTGATGTGGAGAAAGTGGATAAGGAAAAGTTATTTATGTATTAACATAATACAAGAACTAGGGGTCACCAAATGAAATTAATAGGCAGCAGGTTTAAAACAAATACAAGGAAGTTCTTCTTCACGCAGCGCACAGTCAACTTGTGGAATTCCTTACCTGAGGAGGTTGTGAAGGCTAGGACTATATAACAGCGTTTAAAAGAGAACTGGATAAATTCATGGTGGTTAAGTCCATTAATGGCTATTAGCCAGGATGGGTAAGGAATGGTGTCCCTAGCCTCTGTTTGTCAGAGGATGGAGATGGATGGCAGGAGAGAGATCACTTGATCATTGCCTGTTGGTCCACTCCCTCTGGGGCACCTGGCATTGGCCACTGTCGGTAGACAGGATACTGGGCTAGATGGACCTTTGGTCTGACCCGATACGGCCGTTCTTATGAGAGGGTATAGAGAAGGGAGAGGTGGGACACAGCCCCTCCCCCCAACAGAGGGAGCAAGGAGAGGCAGCCCAGCCAGCAGAGCCATTAGGGAAGAGGTGGGGCCAGAGTCTCTCTGCTTCTAGCCACGCTGCTCTCCCCCCAGCCTCCAAAGCAGCTGCAGCTCTGGGGCTGGCAGGCTGCAGCCATGCCGCTCAGCCCCGCCCCCCAGAGCACCCTGAGGCCATGCTGCCCGGCCCAGCCCGCTGGAACATGCTGTGGCCACGCCGCCTGGTCTGGCCCGCCGGAGCAACTCCAGCCAGGCCAGAGACATCCTCACCTGGCCCTCCCCAGGTGGGAAGGGATGAGATGGGGAGAGTGTGGGGGTCCCAGGCTAGGGGTGGGGTCATGTGGGGGGTGGTCACAGGGTTTACTCCCCTGACCCCCAGCTTCTCCCCCTCCAAAAAATTTCCCCACCAGTTAGTGTCCCAGCCCGTCAGGGTAAGCAGCTGGTGTGCCGGGACACTTTGTTTACTTAGGTTTACCTCCATGCCTGCGGACACTCAAGGTAAACAAACCATCTCGGCCCCCCAGCGGCTTATCCTGATGGCCCGGGAGCCAAAGTTTGCTGACCCCTGAATTATAGGGCCAGCTTATGAACATGTCATAAATGTTTTCCATTTTTACTTATCCATCATGGGGGGGGGGTCGTCTTATAAACGAATCGGCTTATGATCGAGTATATACAAACTTTCAACAAAGAAAGTATTGTCCCGTCTATTATGGTTACTTTCATCTTGCTACAGTGAAAAACTAAAGACATTTTGCTTATCCTCAGCTGGTACGTGATAATGCAGATCTTCGCTGTGAGCTTCCTAAACTTGAGAAACGACTTAGAGCTACAGCTGAGAGAGTTAAAGCTTTGGAGTCTGCACTAAGGGAAGCCAAAGAGAATGCATCTCGTGATCGCAGACGATATCAGCAAGAGGTAGACCGTATTAAAGAAGCCGTGAGATCCAAGAACATGGCCCGAAGAGGACACTCTGCACAGATTGGTTAGTAAAGAAGATACTGCAGTTTCCAAACATGTTTTGTTTAACTTTCCTTTCCTTTCCTTTCTATTCTATTCTATTTTTTTTTTTTTTAAATAACTTAAGGCCAAATTCTGTCCTGCATACATGCCTGCAGCTCCTAGTAATGTCTGAGAGTTGCACATGTGAAAAAAGGCAAGATTTGTCACTTAGTAGAAAAACTGCTATAGTTAATTTCAGTGTACAATACATGCAAATCTTCGTAAGTCATTGCTTTGTTGACCTGATTTGTCTCTTCGGTGGTTGGGCTTTCACACCATATAAAACCTCACCTGCATGGAACACTAACTACCAAGGTGAATGTTCTGTCTCCTTTAAAAACAAAACAAAAGTTTGAACATAAACCAAAAAATTCTATAATTTGCCCTTCAAGTCTTTGCTGTACTCTTGTGATGGCAAGATTACGAAGTGGCTATCAAAACAAGGGAAGGACAAGAAACTTAAGTGTACTCAATTTCATAATCAAATTATTAATGCCTTTGCTAAAGCAATAAACGATTTTCTCAGTACTTTTTTGGTAATTGATTTGCTTAGTTAAGTATTTTGAATAGAAGGATTTCATCAAAACTTGACTATCATTTCTTTATAAAACTGTAAAATCCAAGGAGAAAACGCAAGATCTAAGACTTCCGTAATTCAATGTTTTGAACTTAAACGTAAGGATCACAACAATCCTCATCACCTTCCATTCCAAATGCAAGGTCCATTCCTTCAACTTTGCCTTCTCTAATATCTGTACAAAGCAACATGTACTTAAACAAAAAAAGCCCAATCTCAAAACACTCCATCGCTCACAAAATTTCCCCTCTGGAGAGGATGAGAACAAAACCACATATGACTAATGTTACTCAAACCTCTTAATGCAAGACTGTCATCAGGCACTTGGATACTGTGGTGATGAGAACAGTATAAGAACATGGAATAGTACATATATTTTATTAATTTATAAAAAGTTACCCTAATTTCCACTTTAAACAGTAGGATAGGTACAAGTTACTATGCACAGTAATTATCATCTGTAAAGCCACTCCTCTGCACGCTCAAATATTGAAGGTGCTTGCCAATCAAAATATAATTCTTTTTACTCAAGGATTTAATGCTGTGGCCATTACCTTAGTACCTGAGTAGCTATCACCTACCATGATCTATTACACAACATAAAGAATAAGGTGGTGTCATCCTTAAAAAGAGGATGTCGACCTGTGGAATTCGTTGCCAAGGGATGTTTGTGAAACTATAACTGGGTTCAAAAAAGAATAGGTAAGTTCATGGTGGATAGGTCCATCAATGGCTATTAGCCAACATGGTCAGGGATGTCCCTAAGTCTGACTGTAAGATGCTGTGACGGTATGACAGAGGATGGATCACTCAATAATCACCCTGTTCTGTTCATTCCCTCTGAAGCATCAGCATCTGCCACTGTAGAAAGACAGGGTACTGGGCTAGATGAACTATTGGTCTGACCCAGTATGGCGATTCTAATGCTGGGAACAGAAAGTGATTAAGAGAGTTAATCTCTCTAAAATGTCTTGCATTCACAGAAATTGATCGGGATGTGCAGAAGTATTTGCTCAGAGAGCAAGTTCTGTATCCAAAAAATGAGTCACTAGACAACTCTTTTATAACTTGCATTAATCCAAAATACCAGTTATTAAACAGGAGTTCACTTGACACAAATTCTTCTATTGTCTGTGGGAAGTCACTGAAAACAATTCTGATATCCAATCTAGCTAACCTGAGGGTGGTCTAACAGCATTATTATCCATTTTTCTTGTGTTATACAGTAACAACTTTCAACCTTAGATTTCAATGGCAGATTAAACAACATCAAGAGTATTTGCTTATTTAAACCTGAAAACACAGTAGAATCTTGCTAATCTATACTTTAGTAAACCATCAGTCTATATTGAAAATGGATTTAAAGATTTGTTGCTCAAAATAGGAGGAATCTGGAAAATTTTCCTTGTGCTGCTGGGGTGGGGCCAGTGCAGTGAGCTAACGCTCCCCACTGGTCAACAGCGGAGCACCATCTCATCCACTAACCTTAATCCAGTCTTCACTGAAGCCCTGAGACAGGACTGGAAAAGCTGCTCCCATCTTGCCCGTCTCCCCCCAAAAGCCTTGCTTCTGAAAGTGGAACGGGATAAACCGTGCAGCAAGTGTCTGATGTTTGCTGCAGAAGTAGAGGGGAGAACTGCTGTATTAAAATGGCTTTGGTTGTGCAGACAGTAGTTTGCTTTCAGGGGAGAAGATAGTCCCTTACTTCTACTTCCTCTTAGATCACCAGAAGGGCAAGGGAATGGGGAAGATTTGAGGGTCTCTTTCTACCTTTATCACAGAGCATAGGGAGAGGCCTCTGATATGCTAGAAAATGGCCCTGGGCTGACCTATTAGGAAAGATTGGCTTTCTATGAAAGGCCAAAAGCTAGCTGGACATGGAAGGGAGGAGGTAAACTATTTTAGTCCAAATTTATAAAATTGTGCATGCAGATTTCTCTGAGTATACCAACTTTAACTATAATACAAGCACAGAGCTTCTTGTGCTTCCAAAATCCCAGTTTTAGAGCTGTACCCTCTCTTCCTACTGCTGAGGTCAGCTAGGCAGGAGAAATTGCTCCAACTTCAGATCCCTAAAAGGGAAGTGGGACATGTCCCAGGCCTATTTTATGATTTTTGCTATAAATTGGGGAAGGATGAGGGAGGAAAGGCCCCTTCCCATTCTGAGTTGCTGGAGAGTGATGGCTGTGCTCCTGTCCCTGATCTCCCATCTTCTCCCTGGGGGATTTCTAAAGAGGAAGAGAATCTGTAGCTCGGTGTGGGCCATAGCTTCAGTTTTGTCAGGGAGTAGCAGCTGTTTGTCAAGATAAAACTTCACCCCACTAGCTTTCAGCCTTGGCTCCAAAACTTCTCCAACTGATGCTGTCAGCTAAGATGATACCTAGTCAGGATGTAAAAGAATGCATGACCACCATGAACCCAGTTGCTATATATGGTGATCACACTGACAGATCTTTTGATTCAGCTGTTTGAAGGGAGGATCTGACAGCAAATGCTGGATGCCTGATGTAGTACACCTTTAGCCATTAGCAAAAAGTTGGCACCTCCACCTTTGGATAGGGCGCAGCTTCTGCAACTGCATAACTCAAGGAGCATATACCAACAGCAGAAATTTCAGTAACTTGTTTTCTTGATGAGGCAGAATCAGCCTGGTTGGGCCTTAAAGTGCAGAGTACATAGTTATAGATTTAACATTGATCTGTTTCATACAACCAATCATAAGATACATTGCCTGAGTCTAACAATCTCATTGTTATAATCCCCAAAACATCACTTCCCTAGATTTTAAAAATGTTTTTCTCATTTTAGAAAGCATGATGCAAATAGTAAGAATATGCCTTTCTCAAGGTGTCATAAAACATAATATTAATGAATTTGAACAATAGAAGGTCAAATTATTAGAATTGCTTGGTGTATGATTTCTAACAGGCACATTTTATTTCGTGTAGCTAAGCCTATCCGTCCCGGCCAGCATCCAGCAGCTTCTCCAACTCATCCAAGTGCAATTCGTGGAGGAGGTGCATTTACTCAAAACAGCCAGCCAGTCACACTGCGTGGAGGTGGAGGACGGCAGGATAAAGTGTAAGTTTCTCTTTATAGGAGCTGTTTTTTAGTGTATCCTTAAGATAGTGTATTTCATAGTTTGTGTTCGTAATCCATCCAACTGTGTGAACAAACCAGTTGAATATTCTGTGGTTATATCTTGCAATTAGAGGACTGTGCTAAAATATGTAAATAAGCAGCCCATATTGTTGCCTCCTTTTGTACAACCAAAGTCCAGTTGTGTAGTAAAGGGGCAGTTCTGGGGTTAGGAATCGTACTTCTAATTGAACAAAATACAAAAGCTGTAATGTATAGATCAATTGGCCACAACTGTACTACATAAAACATCTAATGTAGATTTTAAAAAACTCTTGCTGTTTGAGTTGAGTTCTCAGTGATACTTTTTTTAAAGTACTATACAAAGTGCTTCAGTGATCAGATTTTCAGCAACTGAGATTAGTATGTGATTTAAGGAAAAAAAAGCATATGAGTATATATTACAGCAAATGAGTACTTCATTGAAATCAATGGGACCTTCACATACTTAAGTAACAGTGTTGATTTGGGGCTTTAAAGCATATTTTCACACTAATAGATTCATTGCAGTTGGTCGCTCCCCTCTGCTCACTGTAAAACATCAGCCCCATTTTGAGTATTCCATCTGTCTGAGTATCTGCTGCACAATTAGTTGTCTGTATTGAAACTGTCTGCATCTTGGATTGAAGCATAGAGCACACTTAGAGCCCTGTGGGTCCTCAGTTCCTGTATATGTAATAATTCTCTCCTTAAGGACTCAGAATTTGGCGTTTATCTTAGCCTTCAACAACTAGGAAAGAATGGAACTATTAGGGGTCATGCTTTTTGTTCCTGGGATTAGAGAGGAGTCAGGGAACAGGAGTGTGAAGTACAAGATTTTTAAGTCCAAGTCTCCGAAGTATCAGACAGCTAACTGATGCTGGCAGTTGATTAGCACCTAGAAACCATGGTGACTGGGTGTTTTATAAATACTCAGATCATAATTCTCTCCCATTGATAGAATTTGTATATTAACTTTCTCTTACTCTCATTGCCTATTGAGCTCACATCTCACTTGAAAAAGAACTTTCACTCTTTGTAGCTGTATACTAGTTGGCATTGGGAAATTCAAGCAGGGAGACTGTTAGCTGTTAGACTGAGCTCTTAAGTATAGCAGATTAGCCAGCTAAGGGAGATAAATTACATAACTTTTGAAGCTTTAAATTTTTGTTGTCAGTGCTGCGAAAATTGCTTCTGCATTAGGTTATTGCAGTACTCCCCTGGGGGGGGGGGGGGGGAAGGGAAAGAGGGATAGTCATCTGGGCTAGTTTGAAATGAATTTTTACCCAATGACGTTGGTAGTAAGTGTCCATGTGTCCATCAAAGGCATGGTAATGACCCCTAGTATTTATGCTTTTCACATTTAATTTATACTGGTAATGTTTTTTACTCTGTAATGGGCTCTCTTTGAGCAGTTACGTCAGTTTTACCATTGAAAACTCATAATTTGCTCCTCGGTCTGCAGATCATGTCAAAAACCTTATTGCCTGTTCCCTCTCTACCTCCCCACTTTCCAGCCACCCAACAATGGTATTTTGTTCTGAACAGGTGTGCAGCAGAGAGTGTGGGAGATTAGAAATATAGGTACATTATTTAACCATTTCTGCCAGGGTTAGTATGGATATTTCTCACTTGAAATTTACTGAGTGGCAGGCTTTTAGGGGTCTTGGAAGAAACAGGGAGTCCACTTTTTAACAGGTAATGTCATTTAATTGTTTTCATGCAAAAATATTAAATCAAAAGAAGGGTAATTATTAGTCTACTACCCATACAACCCAGCCTTTTGGGGATGACTAGTGGGTAAGGATGTCTCATTCCAAACACCCCCTTCTTTCTAAAACAGCTGAAAAGATTGTTTGAAGAGCATCTTTATCAGGTGCTGCACCCAACCACCACCCACCTCTGTGAAAATCTTGCATGTTGAAAACTGCCAAAATATCAGTTCTAAGTAGCTGTCAGCTTGATGCTGGATACATGAGCAATGATCATAGAAAGTATTGGCATATAATGTGCTTGTATTAACGTAAGAACAGCCATATTGGGTCAGACCAAAGGTCCATCTAGCCCAGTATCCTGTCTTCCAACAGTGGCCAATGCCAGGTATCCCAAAGGGAATGAACAGAACAGGTAATCATCAAGTGATCCATCCCCTGTCGCCCATTCCCAGCTTTTGGCAATATAAAAGAAAAGACATTATAGAAAAATTTTTTCCTGCCTTCCAGGGAATTGGCTACATAAAACAATCATCATTACTGCAAGCTACTTACCTTCCTGTAAATTGTAGACATCAAGGTATTTAAAACAACCACGCCTGTTGTTCATTTTGACATTGTCAGGTATAAAGCAAACTTCAGACCATCAATTTGATAAAAGTGACTAAAGGTTGAAATGGATATTATATTGAAAATAGCACTAAGCACCTTGTTCTTAATTAGTGTAAATAATTGATTATATTTCATGTCTTTGGCATATGTTTGCATATCAATTTAACTGTCTTTTTCTTTATAGTTGCTGAAAAGTGAATGAAATATAAAGATGATTGGATATCATGCAGAGAGAGTCATTCCATGACAATAATCTCTCCCATTGAGGATTGTAGGATTATTTTTTGAAAATGTATAAATTATACCTGGCCTGTACAGCGCTCTCCCCTCCTACAAATTCTGCTGATTTCCCAACAAAACTAGAGTGCAATTTTGGCGTCTTGAAAAATGACATGTTACTTCAAGTGTAGCTCTGTCCATTACAGTTTGTCTTTCATGTCTTAAATTTAGTCTGCACTGTGCCAAGTTGAATGTATGTTAAGAAAATCTTAGTTCGAATTTCCTAGTTTAATTTGTGTACATTTTATTGTCTTAGGGAATGTGGAACAACGTTGAAAATTTTTTTTTTTTTAATTTTTACCACTTTAAATAACACTACTTGTCCCACTCTGAGTTAGAACAGCACTGTACATTGAAGTTCTCCTGAAGTGATGTTCTATTTAGCCAGGACTAATATTATTTGTACAGTGTGGAAATACTGAAGTGTGCTTATGACAGCTGCCATCAGGCACTTAAATCTTGAAACCACAGAACTAAAGATTTCAGTTTGAACAAGGCTGTTTAACTGTTATCTGATTAAATACCTGTTATGTTATTTTTAGTTAAATACTGTAAAAGTAACAAGAGTAAACTTAAGTTTACATGGGAAAAGGCTTTGGCAATAGAATATTTAATCTGTCCTGTTCTTGATTCTACACATAGCATAGCCTGATGGAATGAAAACATTCTGCTTCATTCTGATGAACATTCTGTTCACTATCACCAGAGTTGGACAAATGGATATTTTTCACTAATTTAGTGTACACTGAAATGAGCTAGAATAATCTAGGATTCAATTCTTATGTTTCCAATACTGCATACATACTGGAATTCTTGAGATGAAATTTAAACTTTCAATTTAAGAAAATGAGTCAATTGAACCATTGGATAATGAATTAAAATCCACTAATAATGGAGGCAAAGAAACATTTTTCATAGCTGATACAGCCAGAAATCCCAGAGATATGTGTAAAAACTGTGCTACACTGAATTGTATTGTAATCTGTTTACTTCTAGAAATATTTAAATTTATCAAACTTTTTTCTTTTTCTCTTTGCAATATAGTTGTGTAGGATTGGCTAACAACAAGTAAACTGTTTTGGTTTTGAGCTGATTCTCAAAAGTTTTGAGCACCCATAACTCCCACTGAGGTTAGGATCAGGCTTTTAATGTTGTAATTCCATCATTTGTATAATTTATTCCTAGGGTTTTAGCCACTACATTTTTAGAACAGTACTTCTCAAAAGATAGAAATGTTACCAGATCTTTGAGAGGGAAGGAACTTAGCAATATGAAAGAGAGTTCAAATAATTGTTTTTTCCCAAACCAGCTAATGTTATCTTTAATATTAGTGGTCTGCCCTTTTTTGGCTATTCATCAGTCGTTGTGGAAACGTAAAAGCTCCATAAAGACCTCAATGGTAAATCACTTTTAAAAACTTTTTATACAAAGTAAAATATTTGTGCTATGATGGAGCATAGTCAAATCTTAGACCTTAATTCAACTTACTTTTTTCTGTTTCCTTGCTAACTACTGCAGCTTGACTTTTGTAATAGGTTAGATTTTTAAACCTATTTGCTTCAGTCAGAAATCCTCACTGTTTTGGAGTTTTCAACCTTTAAACACGTATTTTTGCTCTTTGGAGTGTTTGTCTCTGAGTCCTAATCTTGCAAATTCTTCTGAAGCATGATAAAGGCAGCATATCAAGGAAAGAGGACAGTGAAGTAGCAGTTATGATAGATTTAAATGGAGTCCTCTTAATGGAAACAGCCTTGTCCATTATCTCTCAATATTAACTACACATTTTCAGACCTCTGCATATTTTACTTTACACTGGCTAAAAACTGGCTTCCTTGGAAATATTCTCAGATGAAGCAGGATTTTTTCTCATGTAGATGGTAGTTTCATTCCTGTAAGTAATGTATCACGGGTATTGGTGCTGAACATTGCTGTGTAATAAGCAGTAAAATAAACTGTAACTAGCATGTAGCTCAAAATGTACATCACTTTTTTTATATCTAAGCTTTTTTATTTTAAGCTTTTATGAAGTTTACCAAGAATTGCAACTTACAATTTTCAAAGAAATTGCTATTTTGTTCTTTTTGATTCAGTTATGGTAGGTCATCTGGACAGGACAGTTACTGTTTTGTAAATTAAATCTGTAATAGAATGTTAAATGCATTGCTGTTTCAATTTGCAGTCTGAGTGGTTTTATTTTTATGTTCCTCTGGATCATATTTTTTAAAAATGGTTTAGAGTAGGAACTGAATTAAATAAAGGAATAATATTTATTCATGGTGATCAACTAAATTATTTGCATAACTTAAATACTGACTCACTACTGTGTGTAACTCTAAATTTGACATGAGATGACAAGTCTACCTGTGGAACACAGTGACTTAATTTCAGTACATGAAGATGCATTAAAACATAATTGGTTTGGGGAAGACGCCATCTAGTTTTAACTTACCTGCATGCTGTAAATGTATCTGTGTTTAAATAAAGAGGAAAAAAAAAATCTTTGAAATGTAGTGAACTTTATTAAGACCTTGCAACAGTGTCATTGAGTCAGCTTCATATTAATACTTTTAACTTGGCAAGACATGTATTTTGCTGTGGGTTACAATCAGTATACTCCTTCACTTTATTAGAGCCTTTGTTGTGTCGTTAATGTCAGTTAGTGTAGGTATTGGAAAAAGATTGTTCCATCGGTCTTAACAGTTTGCGTTTTTTCACTCTAGTAAATTCATGTTATGAAAAGCTTCCAAGATTGATTGCATCTTATTCATGACAAGACTTTTAAATATGGTGTGAGCTGCTTCAGCAGTGGATTTGTTGACCCACCACAAAGACAGAGGCAGCGATAGCATATACGGTTTTCCTAAATAAACTGATATGGAGAAGAGGGCTTGGATTTGATTTCCTTTTCACCAGTATCTTCACTGACTCCTATAGTTGCTCCTAATTTTTAAGTATGAAATCAGGATAAAGCCAAAATCTTTCTCTTCTCTCCCCCTCCCTTCCCCCCCAACTCTTCTCAGAATGATTTGAAGGGGAGTATGCTTGATGTAGAAAACATACACAGGCATTCTAAATACACAGGCCTATGTGGTAGATGTGAGAAACTTGTAGGTGTAGAGACGTCCCTAATTGCTCAGTGCAGCACTTTCACTTCGGCTTGTCAGTAATAGTGGTCACACAGAACTGGCTAAAGTCTGACTTACAGCAGCCAGTTCCTTTTCCTTAAAAATTGGATAAAAGCACATCCATGGATATTAACTGCTATTTTGCCTTTAAAATACTTCAGTACACCATTTCCTGGTTATGGGGGAGAGTCATAACCAACCTTCCACTACATCCCCTTGGTTAGATTATATTTTATAAACTATTCTAGAGTGACAGTAGGGAAGAGAAAAGTGTGCTGACACTGCTTCTCTCCCTCACCCCAGCAGGAGCAGAGGGCAATTTGAGGAATGCAAAAAATGGGTAGCAGGGCCAGAGTAAAGCAGTCTGAGGCCATAGGCACACTGACAGCACAATCTCCTCCCCATGCTTTGGCTGTGCTCTCATGCAACAATAGAGGATGCCTTCCCATTCTAGACAGGGATGGCAACAGGGAATGCAGCAACAAGGTCCCCCTACCTCAAGAGCCAGAGGGCTGCAGCAGAAGAATCCCTAGTACTCTTATGCCAGAACCCGTTCTGCTTTACCAAGGGTATGTCTACACTTAAAATGCTACAGCAGCACAGCTACACCACTGTAGTGCTTTGGTGTAGACACTACCTATGCCTGTGGGCGGGGTTCTCTTGGTGTAGATCAGTGTTTATTAAACCCTGGGGCACGCCCCCTGAGAAGGGAGCATGGAGGAACATAGGGGAGGTGCAGAGACAGGGCCAGCCATGATGTGGGGCAAGGAGGGAGCACCATGCTTCCAGACACACTCTGCCCTCACACCAGCTCTGTCTCCAACCCTGTTCAGCCTCCAGGGCCAGTTCCACCATCTCTGCCTCCAGCCTCAGCTCCACTCCTCCCCCAGTTTGGCTATGCCACACTCTCTCTTGGCCCCCATCACAGCTCTGCCTCTAGTCCCAGCTCCTCCCCCATCCGCAGTTCTATCCCTAGCTGTGCCTTCAGCCCACGCTCCACTGCTGAGGAAGCCTTGGCTGTGTAGTAATGGGAGAGGGGGGTGCAGACAGATTCAGTTACTGGTAAGAGGGGGTAGTGGCAACTGAAAAAGTTTGAGCACCACCTGTGTAGATAATGCACTTCCCTGCGAGGGAGTAGCTACGTTGATGGAAGAATTCTGTGGACCTAGTCCTGTTTACGTAGGGGCTTAGGTCACCATAACAATGCAGCTGAGGGCTGTGGATTTTTCACACACTGAACCAGTGTAGTTAAATCAACCTAATTTTCTAGTGTAGATATGCCTAAGTGGGCTGGGTCTGTTGCACTTTTTTCCTGCTACACAGTTCATTGTGAAGGTGGCAGAAGGTTCCACCAGAGCAGATGGTCTTGGAGTTAACACCCCAAATGAAATGAATGAGGCAATTCAAATCTAAATTATTGCTTCCAGCTTTCTGCCCACTCTGGCAGATGTCAGTACACCAGTCATGCTCCAGTGACATTTTCTACACAATCATGAGGCTAGAAACTTTTAAATGAAAGCTGACTGAATCTGTACTCTCATGACTCCAGAAACTGGGGTTTTATGTGCAGACGTGTAGCACGTATGCCTTAATCTGGGTTTGTTTGGGCAGCAATGGAGGGAAGAAGCAAAATAAGACACAAATGAAAATCTGCCCTTTCAGCATCATGATACTTCTGAAAGATGGCCACTTTGCACTACATTTTTCAATACTCTGGAGGTAAGACACCAACGCAGCCTTCAGCCTCTGGATCCAGGTACCTCAGTTTGTTACATTTTTCTCTGTCCACATTATTCCAGATTAACACAATGCTTTCTAGCCTTACTCAATTAAAGTGTTGCATAAAAAGAACAGGAACACTGGGGTAAAAGGGAGGTACTTTATTTTAAATACTGCTACCAAAGTCTCAGCCTTCTCTAGAGACCTTTAGACTTCAAGTCTAATCTTACTAGACGTTTCTGAAAGCAAGACAATTTTCTCAGAAGCCTTCCTAATTGACTTTTTTTTTTTTTGCAGAGCCATGGATTATACAGCAGGATAAGTAAAGGATACTAGATAGACAAATAAAACTGCTTTCATGCTTATTAGTTCTTCTGGGCACAACCAACTGATCAAAGATCACTTAATCTCTCTCTCTAAAACCAAGTACAATTAAACCCCTTTGTCATCATTGTCACAGTTCAGGGCAATGGCACCTATATTCCCCTTTATGATCCAGCAAGAGCACCCACTCTTTAGACTTCTAGCACCACAGCCCTCATGTCTCGGGTGGAGACACGTCATGCTCCCTGGTGACCTGTGTTCCCTGTAAGCTGCACTGCGACAGGAGAGATTCAAGTGCAGCTGCTCCCAGGACCCTTCTGCTGGGGGTGCAGAGTGTGTGTGTGGGGGTGCTGATGTCAGGATCATAGAATATCAGGGTTGGAAGGGACCTCAGAAGGTCATCTAGTCCAACCCCCTGCTCAAAGCAGGACCAACACCAACTAAATCATCCCAGCCAGGGCTTTGTCAAGCCTGACCTTAAAAACCTCTAAGGAAGGAGATTCCACCACATCCCTAGGTAACCCATTCCAGTGCTTCACCACCCTCCTAGTGAAAAAGTTTTTCCTAATATCCAACCTAAACCTCCCCCACTGCAACTTGAGACCATTACTCCTTGTTCTGTCATCTGGTACCACTGAGAACAGCCGAGCTCCATCCTCTTTGGAACCCCCTTTCAGGTAGTTGAAAGCAGCTATCAAATCCCCCCTCATTTTTCTCTTCTGCAGACTAAACAATCCCAGTTACCTCAGCCTCTCCTCATAAATCATGTGCTCCAGCCCCTTAATCATTTTTGTTGCCCTCCGCTGGACTCTTTCCAATTTTTCCACATCCTTCTTGT